TTTCCAGGACAACAAGAATCTGGCGGGATGCCTAAAAAGCTGCCCAATCCTTTCAGGCAGGGTGCCAACCCTTTTACAAGGCAACTTTCCTGCATTTATCTTAGGCTGTGTTTACATGAAGCGTTTCAACCCGGGTTGAGTTCGACCCGGGTCAGATTTCAACCCGCCATGTGCACAAAGTGAATGGCGCGTTTACATGACGCATTGCGCTTGACCCGGGTTGAAATTTCGCCCCGGGTTGATTTCAACCCTCCCCTTGGGGGGAGGGTTGAAATCAACCCGGGTCAAGAAAATCGTACAAACGTACTTCTGTGCGTATCTCGCGCCAGGTTTGAACAGCACTGCAGATGCAAATTTCGCGCGAACGGATTCACGTGACCATACAGGACTGTAGAAGTGGACTTTTGGCGGCATATCAGTATTTGACCCGGGTCAACTGTCTTCATGTAAACGCTCACCTCTTTTGTTTGTCGTACAGACTTTCAACCCGGGCTGAACTCGACCCGGGTTGAAATTTCTCATGTAAACACAGCCTGACTTTCACCAGGCAGTTGTACGAACTTTGTACCCGGGTACGACTGTCCGCTGCTTTCACACATCCCAGGCCCCTTGCGCAATTTCGTAGGGTCAAAGGTTGCCTGTACTGTAAAAGCAGAAAATTTCGGTGGTGTAATATTTTCGGCATTCGTCAAAATCGGCGGTTCGGTAGCGGGAAATTTTCGGTAAAACCCGTTCTCCGGGTAGGTGTACTAGTACTACATGTATACAGTATCGGTTGTACCGAAAATTTCGGTGCGTTTTATTTTCGGTAAAAATTGTCGGCACCGAAGTTACCGAAAATAAAACACCAGGCCAAACTAAAGAAGGTGTGTGGTTCGACTAACATGGACATGTTTTTTACGGGCGGGCGGGCGGATTTTTTTTTTTTAATATATTTTTTAGTACATGTAAATACACTGTATACGCGTATCGAGTAGACTCTACTACCAGCACAAGGCAGCAGTCGTACCACTCACTGCACTGCACTGCAGTACAACTACAAGTCAAGTCCAAAAGGAGCCGTCTGCGTCCGCAGACTCACGCCGCACAGCACGTAGACGTGGACGTGTTCAGTCCACGTACGTCAGTCACACGACAGCCCGCCGAAAAAAAGTTACGGTCGGGCTGAAATTGTACGGTCGGTCGGGTGAGTCAAACCACACACCTTCTTTAGTTTGGCCCCACCGAAAATTTCTGCTTTTACAGTATATTGCATGTAAAATGTGTAGTCTGAATGCAGGCATGGAAAAATGTTGCCTTTTAGGTTTTATGTGATTTTGTACTGGATTTTCTATGTACGTAGTCTGAGGGCCTTAGGGTTGGGCAGGTTTATTTTCAACTATCTCTGGTCGTGTTCATGTAATCAAGAGCACATAAACCAGAGTGTGCGCCTCGGGATGGTTCCTGTGGGAGCGTAATTCGTGCAGTACATCATTTCTGACGGCATGGTAAGCCACAGGTACGGTGAAAAGTTGCGTAACCAGTCGCGGTTGTGCAGGTCACTGAGTTTGTCCTGATTTCGGTTTTTTGATACGGATAGCCTGGTGACTTTACTTTTCGGTGGATGTACGCAGCGTACACAGTCACACAAAACACCGAAATCCTGAAACTGGACGTCTAAAAGCAAGCAAACTTGGCTGATTTCCGGGCTATATAACATGAAAAATTGAGCTGTACGCAAGTCGTGGCTTGGCTGACCTCATCAGGGTGACGTAGTGCACGAACTGCGCTGTTTCAGATCTGATACAGTATAGTCGTGCGCCCAAGAACGTTGTTTCCAAGGGGTTAGCCTGGGACGTTCTTATTTTTTCAGCAATCTGGCTGCGTTCTTACAGCACGTTCTTAGAAACAGTGTGTATTGGATCATATGTATTCTACAAGCTGCCAGAAAACCAACACCGCCGTTCTTAGCTTTAGGCTGTGGCGTTCTTACTATTTCAGGCTGGGCGTTCTTGGGCTCCACGTTCTTCATCGCGCGACTACTGTATGCACAGTTGCACACTCTGGTTTATGTACTCTTGATGTAATTCATAGCACCCTGGTGTTTCTTGCTCTCCATGTTCTTCATCGCACGGCTATACTGTAATGGCTGATGCGTCATTTCCCTTTCCGGCCTGGGAGACTGACCACAATCACATTCAGAACTTTCTACAATAGGTGGTTCACACGGCAGGCAAATACCGGACCGTTGTTGCCTATGGTATTTCACCTGTGAACGAGAAAAGTAGCTGAAAAGTGCAACACAGTGTACTAGTGCAGTAGAGTCATGCTCCCAAGAACGTTGTTTCCAAGGGGTTAGCCTAGGTTGTTCTTATTTTTCATCAAACTGGCTGCGTTCTTACATCACATTCTTAGAACCAATCCGTACTGGATTATAATATGTATCCCAGAAAATCACCACCGCCGTTCTTGACTTTTTAGGTTGTGGCGTTCTTAGTATTTCAGGCTGGACGTTCTTGGGCTCCACGTTCTTCAGCGCGCGATTCTACGTACTGTAGGCGATTTGCACGACAGGCACGTTTGCATTTTTGAATGATTCAGTTGCCATGAGTATTTCAAATTTTCAAAACACACAATAAATATGAAAAGAGCCGCATAGAAAATCAAGTCTTGTTTCGTGCTTTTTTGGTGGGTGAAATACCATAGCAACAGTCCTGGGCACGTGTATAGAGTAGAGTCGCTCGCCGCGTGAAGAACGTGGAGCCCAAGAATGTCCAGCCTGAACTTCTGCCAGCTTGTGGGATACATAATACAAGAGTACATGAAAACAAGAGTGTGCAGCTCGGATGGGTTGCTGTCACGGCGGAATTCCGTGATTACATCATTTTAGTGATGTAGTACGTACAAGCAGGTCTGCTTTCTGCGCAACTGCAGCTCAGTTGTACGCACTACGCCACTTCCCGCCTCGGATCTGCGCCAAATATGATGTAATTACGGAATTCCGCCGTGACAGACACCCATAGTAGAAAGTGCTCGGAGCTGCACACTCTGGTTTTCATGTACTCTTGATATGATCCAGGACAGCTTGTTTCTAAGAACATGCTGTAAGAACGCAGCCAGATTGCTGAAAAATAAGAACGTCCCAGGCTAACCACTTGGAAACAACATTCTTGGTCGCCCGACTACTGTAGTTTGTGGAAATGAAGACAGTTGCGAAAGTTGCGATTTCTTCCAAAACAGCCAAAGGTTCGAAAAAAAGTGACGAGCATCTTTGGGAAAGGGCTGCCTTTGGGTCACCCAACGGTCCTGGTTGACTGGAAATAACGGTTATTTCCAGTCAAATCATAATGACACTTGATAAGGTGACCACCTGCACACAGCGACCACATGTTGAAGCCGGGTCCCTTGAGTGGTCGCCTTAAAGGGAGAGTTAAGCCTAAACTTAAATTTTCACCAGTTGTAGTCTTCGGGGTGCTGAGTCGAATGGTCTTGGTCCGAGGAAGCTGAAACACTCCCTTCCTTCTTTATTCCCAATCGAACTCGCGTACTTCCACCGAAACTGGGTGACTGCGCCTTACTAGACTCAGCGTCCGAAAGACTACAACATATGGGCCAATCGCGGTCATCCGTGCTTTTATAAGAACGAAATGGTGCTTTTAGTGACATTTTGCATACAAATCCCCATCTAAGTTAGTAGGGCGCAGTCACCCAGTTTCGGTGGCAGTGCATGAGTTGAGTTCGATTGGGAACAAAGGAGGAAGGGAGCGTCTCAGCTTCCTCGGACCAAGACCATTCGACTCAGCACCCCGAAGAGATACAACTGGTGAACATTTGATTTTAGGCTTAACTTCCCCTTTAAACAGGTTAAACCTGGTTTCACTGTACAGTACTCTGCAGTAAAACGTGTCCCAGAAGCCCACTCACGGCATGCAACTGCATGTACATGTACTTGGACCAAGGGATGCTATCTCCAGTCAAATGACCCGCTAACTTCTAAGCTTGGATGAGTTGACCACCTGGTAACAGAGACCCGGCGTGACATTTTGAAGGTCCCTTTACCGCAAATTACCGGTCGTCTTAGAAAGGTTTCACTGTACTTTGAAGTACATGTACCATAAAATACTGTTGATCCACTCCCTACCGGCTGCCGGAGTCACTTCATAGCATGCAGCCTGTAATTTTGGCAGGAGACAGGAGACTATACATGAAGTGTAGCACAGTGTCATGTACTATGATAATACCACGGAAGATCAGGCAGGTCATGCTGCCACGACTGTTGTCCATATGTCTTGGGGGGGGGGGGGGGGGGGCACAATAATATGTTGTGTAATAGCAAGCCCAGAGTGTGCAGATGTACCGGTACGGCTCGTATGCCGGGTTGGACAAAAGTCATAAAACCGAGCCCCACAGCCCTGCCATTGCCAACTACCAGAATACATAATGGGTGTGCAGCGCGGATCACTCTGAGCCGCCGGGACTCGCACAAGCTGCACTGCATGTGCAGTCTCAGTCATAGTCAAGTTGTCCACCGCTTTTCCATTGTGGTGTCTAATAACTCCCAACTGGCGTACATTATTGACGGGCGCTATTGTATAGTAGTGTGCATGAGTGTACCGGGATAGACGTATTATTTTTGTATATTGGCATAATATTGCATCCCTCCACCTCAAGGGCCGGGCCCGGGGCCGGGGGGCGGATTATTTTGAAAAAAAAACAACGAAGCATTTTGCATCATTTTTGGTAGGTCACGTCACACGACTGAATTTTTGGTTTGGGTGGTGAAAATACTACTCTTGCAACCAAGGAGTAGTAAAAATTTACTACTCCCTGCTTGCATGCACCGCCACCAGTGCAGTGCAGTTTGCCAGGCCAGGGAGTAGTAAAAATACGTAACGCCCTGACATCCCGATGCATCGGGGCCGGGGGCGGGGGAGGTCCCCTTGCTACTTGCGCGATTCACCCTGCACGTGGTGCCAACTCAACCAAAATCACGAATGAAATCAGCGTTGGCGCAAGTGCATGCATGCAGCCAGGCCTGAAAGGAAGCTGGGCGGAGGGAGGTTAGTCCACGGCTACTGAGTCTGTAGCTACATCTGCCAAAAGCAGGCATCTTACACCCGTTTGTGCGCAGAGCTAGAGACCACCTGGAGTGTCGGGGAGAAGAAAAATCATGATCATACAAGGCCGTTTGGTTCGCCAATGTGCCTGGAGATTCGCCAGCTGTAGGTAGTTCGATAACGAGGAAACTTTGGAACTGGCTTTTGAGTGTAGTCTTCAACAGTGAAGTTGGATAACTGAAGAGTGCATTGTAGATTTTGAAATAGATTTGAAATAGTTTAAATTTGAGAATTGATCGGCGGTGACAAGACGGCCAGCCTCGGAATGGATGAGGAGCTTGCATCAGTTTCATTGTTGACACGCCAGGTATACGTGGCTGCTGACTCGATCAATCTTGCCAGAGACCAGGTGAGCCAAAATGAGGTGCATCGCCGTAACGCTAGGTAGGCGTACATCACTACATGTACTGAAAAAGCCAAGAGATGGTTACTCAAACAAAATAAACAAAATGCAAGTATACAGTCATGTAGGTACTTTACACTGAATCAGCTGGTTTGTTTGCACCATCATTGAGCTTTGATGGTGATCATCGAGTCAGTCGCCTGCCCTGCATGCATGCGTTCAAGTACACACAGCAAATTCAATTTTTATTGTAAGTCCTACACTTGGGCATGCAAGTACAGGTAAAATTTGATTGGGAAGGCTAAACTAAAGTTCAAGATTGCCAGGCTCTCAAGTACACCTAGCCTCAAGCACTTACACGTACTAGTAGTAGTACTAGTACTGGTGCTCAATTATTAGTGCGGTGAACATGTACATCGTCAATATACATGTGCATGTGCACGTACAGTCATGTGGATACACTAGAACACTCTGTACTGTAGTAGTAGTAGAGTTCAGTTATAAGGTTGGTGGTTATACAGGTGAAATCCTGATAATTCGAACCTCAAAATGCCAGGAAAAAAATTCTAATTATCCGGACATTTTTAATTATCCAAACATGAACCCACAACTCAATATGTATGTCAAAATGCTCTCATGGTCACGCAGAGTTGCGCTATGGACCTTAGACGGACACTGAACTGACCGGCACAGCCTGCTCATGCAAACTGAACTGACCAGTACAGTGTACAGTGAACTTCGAATTACACTTTGCTAACTTCGAATTATCAGCACAAATCCCACACATTTTCTAATAATAGGTCATGAACTTTGTGAGGTCATACTCATAAATGTACTAGAACGGGTTGAATCTGCCAGAAATGGGGCAACTTGCCCCGCGAAAAGGTAACGGCCATCTTCGATGCATACCCAGTGCTGGCAAATAATTTTCGCCCAAAATCGGACACCCTTCACCGCCATGCCTGGCCACGTCACATGGTGTGAATTTTTCTTCTCAGCAATTTTTCCAGAGAATTCAAAATATCGCCCAAAATACCATGGGAATTTGCTTCGTTGCCATGGTAACCGATATAGCACCCTGAAGTTTTCATGAATTTTGTAATGCATGAGTGTGGTCACACACTGTACACTACATGCCATCCAGGCATGTTACTTCGCACTTCCACAGCCAAGCGCTAGCCTTTTTAGAAGCACATGTACAATGATTTGTGCATTCAGTTGCGCTGAAAAGTGAAAATACAGCACTTCTGCATAAGAAAGTACTGATTGCTGACATTTTTGGCTGCTTTTCGCACGTTTCCTTTTTCGGACCGTTTTTCGGAAGAGCCTTCAAAAATGTGCGAAAAATCGGACGGTTTGGCAACACTGCATACCTCCCATTCTCACTTCAAAATCACTCAATGGTACCTAATGCATAATCTTCCCGCCATTTGGTTTTTCAGCCATACACACTGTGATACCAGCCTTGCATAAAGGTTCATGACCTGTGTACATATATGACTCATGATCACAAATATACATGAATGTACATGTACTTTAGCTGGTGGAGCCCGCCAAAAACGGGACAAACAACTTTGTTTCCTCCCAAAAAGGCTGCAGCCATGTTTTATTTTATTTTATGCATACAGTATAGGTGCCATTGCACTACTAGTGTTGGGTGGTTTAGGTACCCACAAGAAATTGTAATTTGTATGGATGACAGCGTCCGAGATGTAAAATAATTATAATGCTCTGTAATGTACTATGCATTTACCAGTAGAGTGGTGTAGTGGAAATGCAGTCCTTTGTTACATTTTTTGTATTTGGTACTTTACAAGTATGGTATGGTTATACATGTATGACGCAATGAAGGTTTGCCGCGTATGGCCCGATACTTAGTGCAATATTATGTGCATGCGAGTGCCTGATTGCGGGCAAATGTACTACATGTGGGGATATAGAGGGCTGCACTTGTATGGGCAACATGTTTAGCCTGGCTTGGGTTACAGCTGAGATGGAAGGGCTAGGGTACTAGGTCTATGGTTGTAGCCAATGAGCGATTTCCCCCGCGGTGGCCTTGGTGAGCTGATTAAGGCTGCCTTTTACGACAAGTTCATATACAACGATGGTTGTAGCCTGTCAAACATGCACAACTATCTTGCTTTGGCAAACAATCCGTTAAATCCAGTCAAACCTCCTCCCGTAGTAGGGTTGCGTGAATCCTAATTCGTTGGATCTTGATCCGGATTTGACCAATCCTTGTCAATCATTGCTGTTCAAGTGGATCCTATCATAGTATGGATCTAAATCTGTATCCGACAAACTGATCACAGCCTTGGGATTACTTTGTACTTAGATATTTTCGCCATCGATCATTTCCTCATTTTAGAGAAGAGCAGATACATGTCTGTTCCTGAAGTATCTGAGTGTGTCGTGGTATTGAGTGGTGACGTTGGGGGAACAACCTTTGAACGTTTGTCTGTGATGGGCCGTGAAAACAGCCTCCGTTCTCGTTGCCTCCATCATCCGACACAAGGATTTGTGCCATCAGTTTTACTTAGTTTGGCCAGGTCTGCTCCATATGCTGCTAGCTTAAAATTTGCTTCAGCAACGTTGCCCCACAGTCCAGTACCATTGGGATAATTGTGATGGGGTAGTAAAAACTGTAAAATGTACATCTATTATCGGCGTTCGTCAAGTGTGACGGATGTTATTAGCACAACTCTCTCTCCCTACTCTCCCTCTCTATCTCTGTCTCTCTCTCTGTCTCTCTCTCTCTCTCTCTCTCTCTCTCTCTCTCTCTCTCTCTCTCTCTCTCTCTCTCTCTCTCTCTCTCTCTCTCTCTCTCTCTCTCTCTCTCTCTCTCTCTCTCTCTCTCTCTCTCTCTCTCTCTCCCCCCCCCCCCCCCTCTCTCTCTCTCTCTCTCAAGTTGAGGAACTGTGGATGTGTGCTTGCGGCAGAGAAGTTCGAAATTTGCCATGGTCACTGGCAGTGTAACTCATGTGCAAGCGCAGTCCTCGAGCAAAGTGCTGTTTGATTTGTTTGTGGGAATCCGTACAGTCTGACCAACCCTGCCGTACAGTGTGTTTCAAAAGACTTTTTAGCATGGACCATCCTTCTGCAACAAAATCTGCTCGGCCCGCAAACGAGTGTACAATGTATGTCGCAATTCTGATGATATATTTGCGATGTCCGCCATGTTTAGTAGTTTGGATATGCCAGACACGTGGCGTTGCCAACCACTTTTCCTGGTACACTAGTTCCACATCATTGCAGTCTTTGCGATGGGGTCTGACTTGCACAGAGCAGATGGCACGCATAGCTGTTGCAGTGATGTTCATTGCGTCGTTCCGGTTTTCTTCTCTTGCGTGTGCAGCTTCTCTTCTTCGCTTGTACAGTGTTTGCGTTTGTGGGCAGTGCCCTGTTCAATCTGCTGCTACCGCCGGTGCGCACATCCACCGCTCTCCGCCATGCTGTGCTGACAACGTTTGGCGTTCTGCTGTTGTTCTACTGTTACGGCGGCACGTGAGTATGATAGAGTGTGTGCCCGACCGACTAACTTGTGCTGGGTCTTTGTACGGTGTGACCATGGGTGCTTTGTCGAGTGTAATTGCACCATGTACTCTGTGTACACTCTTGGTTATGCTACAGTCTTTGAATTCTTTATTCTCACCATGGCACCATCGCCAATAAGAGATGCAGTCATAACGATGATTGAAAGTCGGAGTGTTGCGACAAACTTTAAAAACCTCCTTTATGCCTTCTGTGTACATGTTACATTGTATACTGTTGGTTATGTACTGTTGTTGGTTTTATCATTCTGAACATGTACTTCTAACATGATGATGCTGTTCGTGTCTGTGCTGCTGCTGCTGCGTATATGCATGTGCACTGTACATGCGCATGCACACGTGTGTGTGTGTGTGTGTGTGTGTGTGTGTGTGTGCGTGTGTGTGTTCACGTGTGCTTCCGTGCATGCTTCCGTGTGCTCTCGTATGTGTGCGTGTGTGACTAGGCAAACATGTATTCTGGTTGTAGTGAGCGTCGTTTCTCAGCTATTGATGCAGTATGCACCTGCTAATTACATGCATGTGTAAGTGCTGATGAAGAGGAAGTGCTTCCTCGCATCATCCGTCCGGTTCTCTGTGCCTGATGAAGACAGGTCTATCCATCCATCCAACCATCCATCCATCCATCCACCCAACCATCCAACCCTCCATCTATCTATCTATCTATCCATCCATCCATGTTCTACTCAATCTCTGGACAGTTAGCTGTTTCCACCTTGTTAGGCCTCCTCGGCGGAGCTCAGAGTCACTGGCTGAACTGATCGCAATGAAGGCTTATAAACAACAAAGCATGTTTAAAGCAACCCAAAGTACCAAGGTCTGAATTCAGCGTGCGCAGTGCTGGGGCTGCTCAGTGCCCAATGCTGCACGAGGCCAGATTGTATGGAACAACCTCCTACCCAAAGGGCATTTTATGACACACAGAATGTGTGGCGTCATCTTGGTGCCCCGGAAGTTGAATGCTGGTGGGTACATGTACAGTACTGTCGGGCGCAGAAGAGAACGATCCGCCGAAGAACGGCCAAGCTAGAACTTCTTCAATTTTTAAGAACGGTGTAGGCTGGAATTTTTGCAGATAAGAACGGAAACCGTAATATACACTATAATGTACACTCAGACGTATACCTCTGCAGAAATGTACATGTAAGACTGTACCATTGAATAAGAACGAAACTGCTGTGTTGGCTAAAAATAAGAACGGGCTAGGCTAGAAGCCTAGAACCCTGACCCCCAGTTCTTCAGCACCCGACAGTACTGTAGTTGAAAACTCTTCCAGGCTGTACTTCACTTGTGATGTGTGCACGGGTTGCGTACAGGCGAGTAGGCAAGCATACGGGTGATGTAGTGTGTACTGCTCCAGGGTGCCATCGTTGAACCTCTGGTTGGATTTCAGCTAGCACAACTACACTAACTCAGTTTTGCTTCTGAAAGATGACCATGAATGGACACGTGGCATTTGCGAGCATACGCACTCTAGTATTGCTTAGAATCTATGCCCTTGTTGGACATGCGTTGATTCTGTGTTTGCTTGCAGATTGGTGTTCATCGTCTCGATGGGATGCCTGGCAGGCACACACATCTTCAACATGGTGTTTCACTTTGGAGAGTATAAAGTTGACTATACAGGGTTAGCGTTTGTTGCTTGTCGTGCTCATGTTTGTATTCGATTTGTTTTCTCCATTTTTGAACTCGGATAATGAGCCAGTATGAAATTTAAAATAGAGGAAGAAAACACACGGAAACGAGTTATGCACGTACGCACATACTGGCCGCTTGTTATCTTGTTGCATTCGTGGATCGTTGCTTCATAACTCGTTTCCATGTGTTTTCTTCTTCTATTTTAAATTTGTCCATTTTTGTTTTGCTTATTATTGGGAACACAGCCTGCAAGCTGTGTGATCAGTCGTGTTGAGTGAAAAAAGCACACGAAAAACTATACAGGGTAAGAGAGTGGGCTACCGTATTTCCCGAATATAAATCACACCTATTTAGTGTTTACAGTTTTACCAAGAGTGCATAAACAAGAGTATGCAACTGTGGTTATGGGCCAGTGCGCGGCGCGCTGCCTTCATTACGTAACTTGCCTCCATCACGCTCTGAAAGCATGCACTCAAACCCACAATTTCTCGTACGAGCCCATCCGTTTTTGCTCGATTCATTCCAGTACCTACGCGATCTCTAAATTTTGGCGCGTGAACTCCAGTTCCGTACGAAAATTCATTTCAAACCAGAGGGAAAGCGTAGTGTTTGATTTTCCGCAGTGCGCGGACTGCAGCTGAATGATGTAATGAAGCCAGCGCGCCGCGCATCTGGCCCATAGAAAAGAGATCACAGTTGCATACTCTTGTTTATGGACTCTTGGTTTTACACTAAACATCAGGGCCAATAAAGGGTGTGTGACTTACAATCGAGTGCGACTTTTTATCGGGGGAATACAGTATTCGGGGTAAGAGAGAGAGAGAGAGAGAGAGAGAGAGAGTTGAGTAGCTGGCTGCTTCATCTTCCTACCTGCTTCCCTTAACCAGTCCCGTTGGCCGTTTCTGACGCTACAGTTGCATCATGAGAGGTGTCTTTGTGTGTTCTTGAATACGCCCCCAAGATCATTGGGGAAATCAACTTGAATTAATGCTCTGATTTAGGCAAGAGTGTGACGGATTCCTCTTGATGATCCTCTTTTGATCAGGTCTTTGATGGTAATCACAGCCAAAATCAGTGGCATGGCCTTCGCTCTGCATGACGGTAAGCTACCATGTTCAAGTTTTTATTCATTTATTTTTAATTCTTTTAATACCAAGACTGCTTGAATGCCAAACATGAAGTGCAACAGCAGAGGCGTACAGACAGAAACCGTGGCGGTGTGAATCCTCTGTGTGACACAGACCGGGAAATGCACCGGCACAATGCTAACACCTCTGTATGCTACTACTAGTGCGTTACTCTGAGTGTGCGACTAAACACCACTTTCTGCATTCAGGTTTTCTGCGGCAGAATCCAACTTTCTTTTCCTTACGGGAAACACACCGCGCACAGTCGCGCAATGGGCCAAGCAGGCTGAGCTCAGGTCGATTTTTTTCGCGCGATGTGACGCATTGCCCGTACACGAAATGAAGTATGAATTGGGCTTTACATCACTAGTACAGACAGTCAGTATGCACAGCTCGATGCAGTAGGTATGTGTTGCGCACAAGGCACTCACAGATCTGCCTGTAAATGTGTATCCCATGCACACTGTTACACTCTGGTAGGCTGTGCTTTTTCCAATGCGTACACAGTAGACTCAATTGCTGACTTCGATTCCCTAGACAAAAATGAACTTTGCATGTATAATATTTTTGGCCCTTTTGAGAATTTTTCCAGAAGTTTGTTGCATTCTGCTTTTTGGTGTTGTTTTCTGCCAGGTGTATACAAGAAAGCCGAGTCGCTAACAGCGGAGCAGAAGCAGCTCAGCCTTGCGTAAGTCAACCTCCCCGAGCATGAACAACATCAGGGTGCACAGGGTCTGGGACGTTGAGTCGAATGGTCTTTGTCAGAGGAGGCTGTGAAGCATCGATTCGTCAGCTGTTCCCAGTCCAACTCACACTCGCAGTGTACCGCGATCCGGTCATGACGGTGTTGAGACTAGCCAGAGGTTCCATGCACGTAGCTACAAAGGGTTGGCTAGAAGCTCGGAACTGCGACAAACTGCCCCCCCCCCCCCCCCCCCCCCACACACACACACTCCTGCCATTCCATACGTCTCATCGCTGCCTTGCTGCTTTGTGCCGTCAAATGGTGTGTAGTTTTTGTAAAAAAATAAATAAAAAACTCCTTTGTGCCTTCTGTGCACACTCTTGGCTATGCTACAGTCTTTGAATTCTTTATTCTCACCATGGCACCATCGCCAATAAGAGATGCAGTCATGACGATGATTGAAAGTCGGAGTGTTGCGACAAACTCTAAAAACCTCCTTTGTGCCTTCTGAGTACATGTATACTGTTGGTTTTATCATTCGGAACATGTAGTTCTAACATGATGATGTAATGCTGTTCGTGTCTGTGCTGCTGCTGCTGCTACTACTGCTGCTGTGTGTATGCACTTGACCCTGGAAACACAAAATGGCACCCGTGTTGCAGTGCATGGTTTAGAACGCTTTGTGCGGAATATTTCGTTTCGTTCGTGCTCCGCCAGTCCTCTTCATTCTCTTTCGTTGGCAATACGGTGTCCGCCCTCGTCTTTTTCCGGGTTGTCTGAAAACTCCAGTCACCTCGCTTGATGTCAGCATCCTGTGGCTAGTTTAGGCCGTGTTTGAACATCCCTTGCTCCTGGCTTGTATTGTTGTGCTTGATGTGCTACAGTAAAACCTGGTGTAAGCGACCGCCCCACGGTGCAAGCAAAAGCGGTCGTTAAAGGTCTTTAGAACCAGCTCCCACAGTATCTGTGTAGAACTGTCCGTGCGTGGAAAAACGGTCGTTAAGAGCAGGTGGTCGCTAAACCAAAGGTTGCTTACACCAGGTTTTACTGTACATGCATAGGAGGTTAGACTCTATAACACTGTGTACATGCATCTGCTCTGTACATGCATAGGAGGTTAGACTCTATAACACTGTGTACATGCATCTGCTCTGTACATGCATAGGAGGTTAGACTCTATAACACTGTGTACATACATCTGCTCTGTACATGCATAGGAGGTTAGACTCTATAACACTCTGTACATGCATCTGCTCTGTACATGCATAGGAGGTTTCCTTGCCTGCTGGAGTACTACAGTTATCTCTTCAACTTCCCATCCGCGCTGGCCATGCCGATGGCTAGCTTCAAGGAGTATGCTACGTTCGTGTCTGGTGCTAGTCTGCCAGCAGACATACGTGTGAGTGATAACTACAGTCCATTTCAAAACTATAGACGCGTACCTAGGCAAAAACCGTTATGCCAGCATCTATACCACATAAGATCTGTGATCACTTTGTGCATAAATTTTTCCAAATTGGGCGTCTGTCATCCAATCGTTTAGAAACTATATGAGAGTAATTGTGGAGCGGACCTGAGCACTATTCTGAAAACTATTCTCAAAAAGTTTTGCAGCCAAATTTGAAATATTTCAAAAACCCTACGCGTCTATAGTTTTGAAATGGACTGTAATGCTCCACTGCATTCTCAGTCTGTGTGAATGTCTCTCGTCTTCTCCTCTCTCCTCTCTCCTTTCTCCTATTTATCTCAGTCTCTTCCTCGCTCTCCCCATTTCTTCACAATGTTCACATTGTTTATCTTCGTGTGGGCTTGTTTGTGCTTCTGGATGCAGAGTGGAAAGAAGCGCCTCTTCTCAAACTATGTAAGAGTAGCAATATTGTTGGTGCTTTGTTTTACTTACTTTGAAGTGAGGTTGTCAGTAGTACAAGCTGTGCTGCCGTTACACACATCACAGCAAAGCTCCTTGGCTTAGCCAGAACGATTTATTGTGACTTTCGCCATCTTTGCTATCACTATTTATTGTATTCACTGGTTTTGAGGGAAAGTTTATTGTTATTTTGTTAAACACGTTTAAAACCGTGTATTCTTTTGTTTGTAACATGGAAATTTTGGGAACTTGTGTTGTCTGATGATCATGTTTAGAACGAAACTCTGTGTTAGAGCTATGTCCAGTTCTGCCTTCTGACTTTCTGTGTAGGATGCATCATGCAAACAGTTCCATTGCTTTCTTTTCTTCTTCTTTTCACTGAAGCGGTGCATTGAGTCTGTTTTCTGTATGGACTTTTGTCTGTTCTCTCTCTTTGTCATGCCCAGCTTCCCGCTTTCGGTAAGGCTGGGTATGGTATAATCCTTCTCGGCCTCCACCTTGTCATCTCTCCGATGTTCCCGATTCTAGATACTGCCAGTGAGTTCAGGGTCTATTTCATTTTTAAGTCACTGCTTCACTGCTTCAATGTTTTTTCAAGTCTAGAGTTGCCTTTTCTGTGATCTGGTTTTGTGTGTTTGTGCGTGTGTGTGTGTGTGTGTGTGTGTGTGTGCGTGCATGCGTGTACGGTGTGTTTGTCTGTCTTGGTCGTTCTATTCCGGTATACTCCGTGTGACACAACATAGACCAGGTATACACCGGGAGCCCATGCACAAGAGCCAGTTATATGGGTTGGGCAGTTCCTTGGCGCAAAGTCTTGGTCTGTTTTATTCAGATGTTGCCCACGACCGATCGCTGGTAGAAGAGAAAATCAGTGGTTTGCACATCCAGTCTACTTGCAGATATGTGTGCTTCTTTTCTAACGGACGTACATGGTACATCGTGCTTGGTGTATGCGTGTGTGTGTGTGTGTGTGTGTGTGTGTGTGTGTGTGTGTTTCTGTTTTGTAGAGGAGGACTTTCTTGGATACTCGTTTGTCTACCGCGTTGCTTACATGTACGTGGCGGGTCTGTTCCTGAGGTGTCGCTACTACTTTGCCTTTGTCTTTGGTAAGTATTATCCACAGGGTAACCTTGACAACAGGTCAGAGTACTCAATGTGGGGTAACCTTGACAACAGATCAGAGTGTTCAGTGCGGGTGCTGACTGGTCTTCTGATGATTGCGTAGCAGCATGAACCTCTGAGTAGAGTGCTACTGATTTCTGCCACTAGACCGTGTGTGTAAGTATTATCCATACAAGTCATGTGTATATTAGGGAGGTTTTGCTCTACGGAATTATGTATGAAAATAACGTAGGAACTGCACGGAACTTTCATACGTAAAGATCAGCCCTGTTGGGTTTCGCTCTACGTGATTTCTCCACGACACTAAACATGCCTTGTTGCTTTGGAGACGCTTTGGCTGCATGCGCTCATCGCATGCACCACGAACCGAAACCGCGTTTTCCATCGTATTTTGCACATCGCGCGGCTTGAACTTTGCCATGGATAAATCCGGAAAATGCGAAAAATATTTCAAAAAGTCCCACGGAGGCCCCAACGTAGGAAACAGCTTTCCTACGGAAATCCGTAGAGAGATTTACGTATGAAAGTTGCCCTCGCTCCCCGGCGTGTACGACGTACGGATTTTCATACGTAATTACGTAGAGCGAAACCTCCCTATTATCTTCTTACCATGGGTGTTGTCTAAATTCCCCCCTCAATTCTGCGTTATGGAGAGGTTAAGAACTCACAATTTCCATATGGAGTGGTTCCAAGGCACTAGATTTGTGTGGAAAGTGATCATGGCATGTGAAAAGTGATCATGGCATGTGGACAGTGATCATGGCATGTGGAAAGTGATCATGGCATGTGGACAGTGATCATGGCATGTGGAACGTGATCATGGCATGTGGACAGTGGAACCAGCATGGCCAACACCATGTCACCCACGGGTGCAGGGGGATGACTGTAGGGTAGTCAATGTGGCTATCCCGTATGGTCGTCATGTGGCAGGTGTGAAACCACTCTATACCACGAGGAGAGAAGAAACTTCTGTTGCAACTCTGTGTTTCACACTTTCACAGTCTGACGATCTTGAACGTGAAAGTCAGAGTTGTTATGACTCATTCTTCTTTCCTCACCGTATGTATCTGTAGCCAGGAAGGTAGCCAGGAAGTCAGTGGATTGGCTTGCACCCCTTCTTCTACCATCCCCTCTCCTCCCGACATCCTTACTATCTGGGTGCATCGTTTTCAGAGCGTAGCCTGCTCCGTGTCATTGTTGTATTGTCCTGCATATGTGTACGTTTCAGCGGATAGCACTGTGAACGCCGCTGGTTTTGGCCACTGTGTGGACAAGAAGACCGGACAGTCCTCTTGGGACGGGTGTACAAACATCCGGCCATTCTCTGTGGAGGTATGTCAGACTCACCGGGGGGGGGGGGGGGGGGGGGGGCTCGGGGAGTGTTTGCCCATCGTGTTGAAGTACGTGTGTGTGTGGTGGTGGTGGGGGGGGGGGGGGGGGGGGTGCATGCATGCATGTGTGTGTGTGGTGGTGGGGGGGGGGGGGGGGGGGGGTGCATGCATGCATGCATGTGTGTGTGTGTGTGTGTGTGTGGGTGGGGGTGGTTACAGTGTACGTGCTGGTGGCAAACATACTTGTATTATATCACCGGTGTTGAGTTTGTAAGCGCGGTGCAAGCGTGTGTAGTGTATGCCGTATTTTCTGGAGTATAAGCAGTACCCAGATTTTTGTCATGCAGTACATGCAGTACATGCAGTACATGCAGTACAGACATCTACCCTGTGTTTCACTGGTCATTTGACTATCGTATTTTAAGCCCCGTCGACTTTTTTTTTATGCGGCTTTTACTCCGGAGAACACGATAACTGCGCAGAGGTTGCGGCATGCTTTCGCAACCTGGGCACCGTGGAGAATGTTAGTTCTTGGAACCCGGTGATCACTCACCAGCATGGGATACCGACGACATCATACCGTGGTGTCTTGTATTAAAGCCTATCTCATATAGAAGCAAAAATGGACCACGGAACTACAAGTTACGCTATAATGTCCACTAACACCACCAGTTACTAAACAATCAGCTCATGCGATAACATTGCACGACACTGACCGACGGTACTGACATTCTACAACTAACTGGCTAACAGCTCTAGCACATCTTGGATGCGCACTCCAACAGCCTTCCAACTTGGAAGGTTCTAAGTTATAGAAATAACATTCCCCTCCTTATGTTATTTCTATAACTTAGAACCTTCCAAGTTGGAAGGCTGTTGGAATGCGCATCCAAGATGTGCTAGAGCTGTTAACACAAGCATCTGCATGCCGCACTCACACAACGAGCAAACAGTTTGGGGAATAGGAGGGTTTGTCAATTGCTTTGCCAGGCTCCGAGTGAGTGACAGCTTAGAGCTGTGTGAATGTGTGTGTATGGCAGCTGGGCAGGGACGCGGTTTGGACCACATCTGCCACTGAGGGGACCGCCGCCTGATATGGCCGTCCGGATCCTGGCGAGCTGAAATTCGCTCCTCAAGGCGCTCGACTCGAGCCAGCAGGGGGTACAGAGCCGTCGACACGGCCGCCGTAACGGAACGTGGAGTTAGGCCAGTTGGGAGTAAGCTGGCGGGCTGGGGACCGGCGGACGGGATATCGTCCTGCTCCGCATGGGCATTGCCGGAACGATCCGCACGGATATTGCCGGAACGATCGGCCGCATGGTCTTAGTCCGCAGGGGCTCGATTCGGAGTGTCGGCATACGGGGACGACGAGGCGCGCCTGCGGCTGGAACGCCTGGGCCCGGGAGCCGACTGCTTACGTGCACGGGGCATCTCCGTGAGCTATGGTAAACCTTGAGATTGAGGTTGAGAAAGAAATCCACTGCCAATGCGGAGAAAGCAAGAACTGAAATCAGGAACAGTGGACTTCGGAGAACAATGAGCGCGTGAGAGTTTGTTGGGAACTGAGCATGCGCCTTCTGTGTTAACATATTTTTGCGCGTGCGCAAAAAATCATTTAGCCAGTTAGTTGTAGAACGTCAGTACCGTCGGTCAGTGTCGTGCAATGTTATCGCATGAGCTGATTGTTTAGTAACTGGTGGTGTTAGTGGACATTATTATTATTATTATTATTATTATTATTATTATTTTGCTTGTTCGCGTTGGCATCAACCTGCATAAAGCAGGTATATAGCCTTCGCTTAAGCTGCCATAAAAAAAGCTCATCCTAAGCGAGAGGGCTAGAGGAAAAGATAACGATAACGAGATACAGAAACCAAAGAAATCCAATTAGTGGACATTATAGCGTAACTTGTAGTTCCTTGGTCCACTTCTTCTTCTATAAATTAATCCTTGGCTCTCCATCCGAGTCCATTCCTATAGGAGCCTGTTTTGAATACTAGTGGAAGCCTGATTTTCAAGATACACTGCCAGGACATCAGCCTGGTTTAGTGTTGACACACATAGAAATACCTGGTTTGAATAGAAGCCTGATGTGAATACCGGCACCACTATTCTACACTGTTTACTGCACATCTGATGTAGCCTGGATGTATTTGTTGCTCTCTGCATTCATGCCTCAGCTTGCCACCAGCCCCAAGACCGCCATTGACAACTGGAATATCCAGACCGGCCGATGGTTGCGCTAGTACGTTTGGAGTGGGATTATTGCACTTCTAGTTTGGCGTGTTGTTGGGCTGTCACCTGCAATGCTGGGGTACTCATACATCACTGAATGCTAGCCTGATTGAAGGCAACGGTTTCAAAGGGAGATCTCTCTGTCTCTCTGTCTCTCTCTCTCTCTCTCTCTCTCTCTCTCTCTCTCTCTCTCTCTCTCTCTCTCTCTCTCTCTCTCTCTCTCTCTCTCTCTCTCTCTCTCTCTCTCTCTCTCTCTCTCTCTCTCTCTTGCTAAGTTCTCATGATACTTTTTTTGCAAGGTGACATTGAAATGCACACGGTGTATGGGTGCAAGTGATATGACTTTTGCTAATTGAGCATTCTGATGTGTGTGTGTACACGTGTGTGCGTACGTACATGTGTGCACACGTGTGTGTGCGTATACTGTTCATTTTGTAGCATTGCATATGAGCGGTTTCCTTGGGCGCCACGTGTGGCCACGTTTGTCCTCTCCGCCATTTGGCATGGCTTTTACGGTGGCTATCTGGTCTCTATGCCTTTCTCCGCATTCCTGGGAGAAGCAGCTGTGCGGGTAGGTGTAATACGGTTCTTTTCTTTTTGTGCTATGCTTTGGTTTGTGACACTAGCATATGGAATTCATTCACACTCTCTTGGAACACTGCTTTCCCTTTGATGCAGTTGCAGCTCATTGATTTTTGTTGAAGTGTTAATTTGAAGGATTGCTTCTAAAACTATATCACTGTGTGTGTGTTGATTGTACGAGAGTTGAATGATTGTAGGAAGAATCGACCCGTTTGTTGATAGGGGCTGAGTACGCGTGTGTTTATGTATCAACTTGAATTTCCTGGCTCTGTGTCCCGTAATCACTTTCGTGTTTGTGTGTGTGTGTTCAACCCGCAGGTGCGTCGCCGTGTTCGTCCCTATTTCCAGACCTCGTCTAGCAGGGCTCTGCTGTACGATCAGATAACACGCATTGGTACCATGGTGCACATGAACTACGCCCTGACGCCGTTCATGTGCCTGGAGTTTTGGCCTGGCATGCTGGCTTGGAGGTGAGTGACTGGCATCACGTTCAACATGTCACTCCTGGTGTAACGCTTACAAGGAACTCGTAAACTTTGCTAGAGAAACCAGGCGCCGAATTTCAGGTTGCACCTACAGTAAATATCGGATATAACGTGCCCCTTTGATTTTCGAAAATGTATCACTATATCCGGTGCATCACTATAGCCGATTTGCATGTTTGACCGACACATGGCACATGACTGCACATGAAATGATGCGTACACGCTGGAAAAAGCATGCTGAAAGTGCATGCATGCTCCGCGGACTGTGTACCGGTGCATGACACAGAGCAGTGCATGGCAGTGCAGTACGAGTACAGACTGTACATGTACTAGAACTTCGATACATCATGTGGCATGGCTGCTTCTTCAGCGTGTTCTCCAAAAAAAGCCTGAGCTGGATCCGTGCTCACGTAGATCGTAGATCTACTCGGTGTCCAACGAGTTGCGTAGAGCCAGAAATAGACATGAGTGGCTGTGTACGTGAGTTGGCAACATTATCGTGAGAGGCAACACAGCCAGAAACGGACAAGAGCATGCAGAAAGATCACTCTTGATCATTATATGCGATATTTTCCTGTACATTTGATATGGTTTGCTTCCTGAAGGCCATCACAATAAGCGATATATCGGTATAGCCGATAATAGTGTATATAGTGATATTTTAGCTGTATTTTTTTCTGATTTGGTTTTGATTTTGACGTGTTCTATCACTATAACCGGTATATCATTATATCCGGTCACTTTATAAACGATACTTACTGTACATGTAAAAAGTCATTTTACTCAATCTGCGTACAGCATGTAAAGTTAATTTAACACAAGCATCTGCATGCCGCACTCACACAACGAGCAACCAGTTTGGGGAATAGGAGGGTTTGTCAATTGCTTTGCCAGGCTCCGAGTGAGTGACAGCTTAGAGCTGTGTGAATGTGTGTGTATGGCAGCTGGGCAGGGCCGTGCTGCGGAGGCTGAGTGAGCCGTATGGAGGCAGCCGGGCAGGGCCCGGCTGCGGAGGCTGAGTGAGCCGTATTGAGAGGCTGAGTGAGCCGAGGCTGAGTGAGCCGTCTGAGTGTGAGAGGCTGAATGAGCCGTATGAGGAGCCTGGTAAGCAAGGTTGACTCCCCTCCATGTATTTACAGAGTTTCGCCGGTAGACGGCATCGGTGTAGTTATTGTAGGCCGGTATGATAATGGATACCGACAGGAGAGAACTAGAATAGGAAACATGATGATGACAATAGTGGAGTGGGTGGGTGGGTTGAGAAAGAAATCCACTGCCAATGCGGACAAAGCAAGAACTGAAGTCAGGAACAGTGGACTTCGGAGAACAATGAGCGTGTGAGAGTTTGTTGGGAACAGAGCATGCGCCTTCTGTGTTAACATATTTTTGCGCGTGCGCAAAAAATCATTTAAAAACATTTCGTGTACCAGACTGCCTTGTTTTGCCGTGCTTGCTGTTTAACGCATCGTCTGCATTCCTTCTTCGTCCCATTTCCTTCCAGGAATGTGTACTTCTTTGGCACGTTCACCATTTTCGGAGTATTGCTCTTTGTACCAGCAAAGAAGCGTCCAGCACCAGCAACCGCCACCGCCAATGGTGTTGTCAGCGATGGCAGCAATGGTGTTGTCAGCAATGGCAGCAGTGGTAGCAATGGAATAAAGCCACATTCCCAATAGACCAGCAGAATGCACGTGCCACTGGTACTTGTTAATTGTTCCACTGTGCACGGTGAATGTCTACTTCTCAACCCTTGCTTCAACTGTCCTATGCTATATTTATGCTTACAATTTTTTATTGTTCTGTGGTGGTGTGGGGATCGCAGCTTATTTCAATTCTTCATTGCAATTTTTATTATATTGGCGTGTCAGGCTGTCTTGGCAACTTTAAGATACGGGGTGCTGGTGCATGCCAAGACAAGAAGGTTTTCTGGTCCTGCACTACACCCTTTTTTTATTTCCTTCCCGTTTTGTGACTCTTTTCTCTACCAACCTTTCGCTGTTTTTGTCTAGAGCCTTGAATGTTTAGTGTTCTGTTGCACAAATCTTCAATCGTTGTAATAGAGCAGCGTTTTGTTCTGACTGTACAAGTAGATTTTGATAGGATTCCGTTCTCTTTCCTTAGATTTAATGGTGCTTGCCATAGTTTAGCTGCAAGTTTATAGCAATTTCAGTCCACGGTGTATTTAGCTCTCTGGTAGTGCATGGTGGCGCTATTCTTCCCCCAGTTTCTTTTCTTCCAATTAATTTTCCAAACGTGCATGTACTGTGTGTGTGGTATTTGTGTGCGATCGATTTCTCTCGAGGCACAATTTTCGTTTTATCGGCGCGTGGGTTTTGGCGTGGACATGTCAATGATCTCTATGTTGAGAAGAGCGTGATGTTTTGAACTTTTGAGACTATTGGTTGCCTTTGAAGTTTGGTGTAGTAGCAATTTTGATAGAGAGCCTGCGTGTGGCACGTGTTGCACACTCTGCTACGCGCACACATGTGTACGCACAGCAGATAGTAACACACAGCCTCTTTTACGGGGGAGAAAATAACATCGTGAATGCGCATGGAGACATGCATGGCGCACGTTTGCAGAACTCCGACCTGCTCTGCCTCCAATGTGAGCGTTCTCAGGACATGCATGCACTGCACAACGAAGTTTTACTGCAGTATCATGTGGGTTCATACGTCCAACCCGGGAGTAGCGCAATATCGTACTACTCCCTGCATCCAACGAGAACATACCATCAGAAGCTGCAAGATTGAATGTTTATGATTCTCAAACTCAACGTTTCAAAAGTGAGACAGTCGGGCAATGCCACTAGACCAATACATGCTTTACTTTACATGGTAGTACGGTGATGACTTATGCTCAAGCTACCGAATCAACTTGTTCTAATAAAAAGTATCCATGAACAAATGCACATACAAGCTCACACATACACACACACGCACACACACATACACACGCACACGCGCGTGCGTGCACCCCCATCCCCATACATACACATGTAACTTGATCTACACGTTGCTTCCGCCGCCATGCTGCATGTAGTTGCCGCTGTGCCTCGCCTTGCCGCTCTTTCTAGTATCTACATTCCTGCGGCAGGTCAGTAGTGATCATGCTGCATCTGAGCGGCGAGGAGGCGACACGAAACAGGACGGTCTGTCCAGAGCGCGTCGTACACGCACAGAGCAGTGCCTGGGCGGTGGCTTGCTGCTGCTGCTGGCCCCCTGACACCGGAGTCGGAGTGCTGCTGCCACTGGCGGTGTTTGGCGCATTCGTTTTCCAGCTGGTGGTGTTCACCGTCAACGTTCCATTGCTTTTAATACTCATGCTCCTTGCCTGTGAGAAGAAAATGATACACGGAGATACGGGTATATGAATATGTGTATAGAGCCTGATGAGGTCGGCCAGAGAGCACATGTGGCCCGGTGGGATAAACAGGCCGAAAGCCGCTGCTTACCTATTAATGTTGGTTGACAGCATGTAACAAGGTGGAGGACACCGTGTTCGGAAACAGTGACCTTTCTACAACCATCCACGGTTGGTACCGACTGGGGCTCAACCAACCGTGGATGGTTGTAGTAAGGTCACTGTTTCCGAACACGGTGGTCTCCGCCTTGTTACATGCTGTCAACCAACAACATGTTTGAACAAACAACAAGGTTTATCTATTACATATTTATCTACAATGTATAGAGCCTGCTCAATACTCAGCTATTCTGCGTAGATTACGTCACTACTTCAGTAGTGTTGACTTGTGTGGATTCGATCTCTGTCCTGATTTCAGTTGTTTTGTGTAGACTGCATCATCACTCCAGTTGTTCTGTATGGATGACATCATGCCTTCAGTCCTTTGCACGGTAGTGATTACATCATCGTTTATGTGTAGGACTGCATCATCAGTTAATCACTTGGGTTGCTTTGCGGCATGGAGCAATATCACAAGCACCGGTTTGTTACAGACGGCCGAATGCAAACTGTTACCCTTGTTTACAGTGATGTCGTTCGTACAACCTGTGCACTAGCCACTAGCTATCAAGCACATCATGTTGGTTGCTTACCGCTTGCAGAGCGATGTCACCACCTCCACTGTTCATACGTATCTGACGACCATGCACGGACAAGCCGGCAATACTGGACACATCAATGGACTGACCGGACTCCGAGGTGACCATCAGGTTGCCATCGGGCATGCTGTTTAGCTGCATAGTGAGGTGGTGTGCATGTGTACAGTGGGAGGCATGATAAACACAATTGCAGTTGACTACACAGATAAAACCTCTCTAAGCTGGTTGTGTTTCTCAAAGTGACACGATTGTATAGCCAGTGGTTATGCGGATGTGCGAACTTTAAATTAAAACTTCTTACGCAGATAATTATATCATGGCACATTGCATGAATTAAGTTGTAAGGTACAAGATCCAAGTTTCCCAAAGCTACATGACTGTATAATATTTGGCTTTGGTGTGAAGAGTGTGACTGTAAGCAGGAACACTGATCATGCGGCATCAGGTCAATGCACGGCACATAATATTCAAGTGCAGGTTGCACGCGCAATGCACGAATGAGCTACATGCCACTGTTGTATGCATGTCGTGTGCATGAATTATGTTGATAGGTCAGACTCACAAACCATGCATTGATCAAGCAAGTTTGGACAACGATTAGAGTCAAAACCTATCATCCACATATCGTGAGCCATGTCAAATTTGAGCAACCGGGAACACATTAATTTTTACTTTCTTGATGACATCTTGATGGTCTTATGGACGGTGACGCGGTCATGGTCATCTGGCAATCGTAGAAATCGCCGAGGCTACATTCATGACATTGATATCTACAGCTTTACGACGTCAAACCTCATGAGGCCAGTCCTTTTTCCTTTCTTTTTTTGAAGTGCTAGGATATCCCCATCATTATGATTAGCTGGTATCCAGTGACTTTCAAGTCAGTGTTGAAATTCAATGATTTGCAGCTCTTACCCTAGGAGTGATGATCATGCGTGCAGTGAGGCGTGCAGCTCGATCGGGAGTCGGTATGCGCACGCTGGACTTTGTCACGCTCCAGTAGCTTTCTCGGACGGACGTGCCATCCACAGCCCGCGTGTCTGCCGACGCATCAAACCTATCCGCGCTGCTGATGACAATACCACTGCGCTGGCTTACGCTCAGTTCTGTCACAATATGATCAGAACACAAAAAAGGATATGCAGCTGCATGTCTCCAAACCGTCCACACAACTAATGTATCCCGGGCTCGATGTGTTTATACCCGTGCTTGCATGCTCAGTGACCATCCAGCTATGGATTTACATTCTGTCTGTTCCACTAACTCCTCAAGTTTAAAATAGCATTTGTGTCACCATATCAGTTTGCAGTCTACAATAAGCCCATTGCGCATTGCCAAACATGGAAGGTATGAGTAATGCGTGTGAGTACTGTACACTGGAATCAGGAATGCGCTGTTCAACACCCCAGACGACCATGTCCAGGTGGCTGTCTGGGCTGTTTATGGTACAAATTACGTCATTGCGCAATGGGCTCATTGTAAGCATACTGGAGATTAGGCAGGATGCAATGAGTGTGTCAGTGCAGTTCAAGCCTGGGTGTGGTGTGGTACACACATGCATCAGTGAGTCGGTGCTATCTGCTACATGATGATTGTACTAGTAGATCTACCCTGGCTATAGTCGTCTCTGACTAAGATCATCCACTGCTCTTCCACACCCGCCAGCACAGCTACACATGCACCGAGCTCAGCCATGCAGGGTTCACTGTTGCAACCTGAGGTGCAGTGAAAGCTGCTCAGTGCCTGCCTTGCTGCATGCACATCGTGCTCTAGTGTATACTCGAAGTATATTACTGCTAAGCACCGTGCATGATGCTGTTGTGGTGTCGTGTCAGCCATGTGTGGCACAGTACAGTGTAACCGGTTACCTGATCGCTGCGGCTTCTTATTGATAGATCCATGGTCAGAGAGGAAGGACACGCTAGCATCTGCTTGAGAGCTCTGCAGAGATGAGGATATCATGTACATCACAGTAGGCTATAAGCACACACAGTGCTAATAAGTACATGCAGTAATAACAAATGACCAAGCTTAACAGCGCACCCACTACACAAGCCAGCCACTGTGTATGATAACCGCACCTGGTGAATCATATCGTTAGAACTCAGTGGTACCACTGTGCAATTGACAAGCGCCGGCCAGTACACATTATCACAGAGTTAGAATGAGGTACGAAGAGAAACGGTCATTCCAGCAAAGAGATCCTGCATGTAGTACACTGCGGCGAATTCAGTAATCTCTACAGGGGGGTTCCAGTATAGTCTAAACTGAATAGTGGATACATGTACATGGACATGTATATGGTTGCCAGTAGTACATTTACGAAATTTAGGGGGTTCCACGGAACCCCTGGAACCCCTGCTGGATTCGCCCCAGCCTGGCCAGCAGCAGCATGCTCGGCTCACCTGACTGTCAGCTCCGTTGAGGCTGATATCCGAGTCCTGGAACGCGCCAACAAAACCTCCCGCTATCATGTCGCCACCATCCGTCGGCTTGCTGAACCTCAGCCCGCCGTCCTCAAGGAACTGTAGCGACGGAACACCTCGTGTGTCCACGCGCAACATGGCCAGGATAAGACACGTCCACTGTGCACCGGAAATAGAAAACACAAACGACAGCAGGCATGCACGACACATGTCACACCGACCCGAGGTGTTCTGCACTAAAGCAGGCAACCAACCAACCAACCAACCATGCACAATACCATACACAATACCATGCACAATACCATACACAATACCATGCACAATACCATGCACAATACCATGCACAATACCATGCACAATACCATACACAATACCATGCACAATACCATGCACAATACCATGCACAATACCATGTACTCACTAATGTTGCTTCACATTTATAGAAAATCAGCACACGAAGTACAGACGCCATATAGTTTCGACTAGGCCTTTCGTACCATTGCTTTTCAAGTCGAATGCAATGGTGATTAAGTTAACATGGCAGCAAGCAAGTCCTTATAACCGGCACTTTGGTGGTGAGAGCATTGACAAATAGCACTTAAGATAGCGCTAGTGGCTAGTGGTACGAAAGGCCTAGTCGAAACTATATCATCATGGCTTCTGTGCTTCATTTGCTGATTTGCTTCCCTCCAACCAAGAATCTAGAAATGTGCAATTGTTGGAAACACTGGAGTGAACGGATCAACGGTACTCAAACGTTGACAATGCACTGCACTCACAATTAGCTCTGCAATCACCAGCAGGCCAACGAAGATGAAGAGAGCGATGACCAGCCATGCTTTGCGACCGCGCAGCCCCACTCTAGTCAGCGTGTGTAGGTCCAGGGGCGCTTGGCCGGCGTCAAAATTCGTGCGATGGCCCGACTTGGACAGGGAGTTGTGCAGCGACTTCTTGCTCATGGACTGGCGATGGCGACCAGAGCGGCTGCGTGAGTTAGTACGAAACATGTCGACGGCTGTAACCACCCTGCAGCCTGGTATAAAGGTGCAGACACATGATTTAGAACAGTATGCACAATTGTACATTTGATTTAAATCAAGGGTGAGGATCAATGCCACACATGCAACGGCGGTAGACACTCCCATCAATATCGGGTGAATCCAGGCCGCTAAGCTGAGGTGCACTGTCTATGAGTACTACTGCTGACTACTGCTGTTGCAACCGCCGGTGATGCATGTGTGATGAATGAGTGGTATGTTTAAGATGTCTTGGGGATTGTCAAACCTGGATAGAATGTTGCAATCTGACTATCTGGTTGCATAATTATCATGTTACACGTACATGTGCATGATTGTATACTGCCCGCTCTCTAGTCGGGGGAGACTCGCGGCTTTGCTGAGGACAAAGCTTGACTGGAAGTTAGGCGAGGTCTGCCAGACTGGGGTAGCAAAGTGTTCAAGTTCAACACGTCGAGGCTGTGAAAACTGAAAAGTGTTGCATTGGCGTGCCATAGTGATACCTAATCAGTGCGCATAATGAGTTGTAGTGCTACGTTACGTACTTGGTCTCCACCGTGTTGCTGCACTCAACTGAGCACAACAAGTGTAGCAATACAGTAGTGGCTGAACTCAGGACTGGGCTGTTGCAACAAGTACAGTAGGTCCGACGATCGAGTCAACGTTCCATATCCATGCGGTGTTCGCCACTGCACCTTTCACTGTTCCATCATCCACCATCGCTTTTTATTTGATTCAGCTTCCAGCACAGCCACCGCTAGCGTATATATCTGGCTATTCCAGGCAGTTAGTGCCCAGCCAAGCTAGGTGCTGCTTGTCCAAACCTTGTCTTCTTCTTCTTCTCACAGCCACGCATTGAAGCTTTCTTTGGTCGGGTTTATGAATTATTTACCTACTGGTATTTTGTAACTCATTTTGTAGGAGTAGATCTACGAGTAGGATGGAACTGACACCATGTCACCCTGCCGAAAAGTCCGGCTGGACGGATCTGCGGACATATATAGCCGGCCAGCCTAGCACTACAATTTGTACAAAAGTAGTAGTACTAGTAGCCGCTGAGCCGCATTATTTTCAAGTGTTTGTGTGCTTTTTCGATGCTTTCAACGCAAACATCACTGTTACCTCGGTAACAGGATCCAGCCAAAACTAAAAGCGGACAAAAATTATTCTGTAGGTGAAGAGATGGCGCGAATATCAAAGTAAAGCGCCTTCCAGGATTTGGAGACGCAGCAGCAACATGCACTGCACTGTGCACACGCCGACAATCTTTCCGCTGCGAAGATTCCTGAGAACGGTTTCTGTTTATGCCAACCAACCCGTTTGTCTCTCAGGGTGCCCTGCATCCGATGGCAAACTTTCATGGGATCGTGTTGACTCTCTGCCATGGCATCGACCTTGGGATTTGGACCGATTTCAAGTGAGTGCAGCTGAACTGAGCCAATTATTTTTGAAATTGCTGAATGTCGTAATTGGGAGATTCAATGAAAATGTCTTTGTACATGTTTGCGTTTGTGGCAAGTACTAGTACTGTATACCGTTGGAAGCATCTGAGATCTACCAGTCAGTGTCCATGGTCGTCACATGTGTTCAAATTGTTTGCAACAAATTGTTGGAAGTAGATTGTATTGAATTGGAATGTTGCCAAAGACAATACCAGTACGTTGTAAAAAAAGAAGAAGTTTACCTATAAACGTTGACACATCCGCGTTGCCACCGGCATACGTGTTTAGAAACACAGCCAGCCTAGGAAGGTTCGCACGTCTCGAGCCACGACCATGCCCGATATATTCTCATTTCACAACATTCCAAGGAATTCATTTCCCCAACTACCTGATCGACTACAGTCCAGCGATGAAGAAAGAGCTACAGCATGTATTATTTACACAGGTTGAACATTTCTCAGCAGTGTCCATGGTCGTCACATGTGTTCAAACACGGTGTCAAATTGTTTGCAACAAATTGTTGGAAGTAGATTGTATTGAATTGGAATGTTGCCAAAGACAATACCAGTACGTTGTAAAAAAAGAAGAAGTTTACCTATAAACGTTGACACATCCGCGTTGCCACCGGCATACGTGTTTAGAAACACAGCCAGCCTAGGAAGGTTCGCACGTCTCGAGCCACGACCATGCCCGATATATTCTCATTTCACAACATTCCAAGGAATTCATTTCCCCAACTACCTGATCGACTACAGTCCAGCGATGAAGAAAGAGCTACAGCATGTATTACAGCATGTATTATTTACACAGGTTGAACATTTCTCAGCACAAGAGAAAAAAGTGACTAGACCCTTGCACAGAAGGACAGAACTGATCACGACCAAGAGTTCACGTTTCGGCCATACTGGTCTTCTTCACTGAGAAAGATGACATTCTTGACTTTGAGTACGCAGTTGCATCCATTGTATCGGACATACCTCCACTTCATTGGCTGGGCCAGCATCACCAAAGAATATACTGCGGTACATGTATTTGGATCTGATATGGTTATTAATCCATTGGACAGTGTCCTATTTTGCTCACTGAATTGAGTAGACCTTCCACGATTTGTGTGCAATGCTGCCTGTCGTTGAACAGGTGGTGACGAATGGCACGGAGATGTGCTAACGAACACCGGTCTGCCACCGGCCATACAGGGCCAGCAGCATGCAGTGCTGCGATGCGAGGTCAGCCAGGTCGTGTGGCTGCTGCGACCGTCGGCACCTCGCGAGGTGGTCGTCACACTGCGCTGGTGGGGAGAGCCGGGCCGAGGCTCCTTGTTCAGGTACGCACGTGTCTATTGGCGTAGGGTAGTCACACTGCTTGGTCGTGTAGTACGTGTTGGTGTATGCTTATCTAATATCACACGCGGCTAACTGAGTGGTGGGAGTTCATCAACATGCGTAGAATTTTGTATTGTACTACAGGTCGTCCCTCGTTAATACATAATCTCTGGGACTTGACAAATGTTATGTATTAACGGGGTTTATGTACTAAACAAAAGTGTACATAACTTGCTTGTGTACCAGATTTTTTCACTTTTTTCAACTTTTTCTGAGTGTTTCTTGCTACCATGACTAGGGAGGGAGATATTCTTCATTCCCTCGATATAACATAAAAATTATGTTATAATAGTCACAGTCAGCGAAGATTCTACAGTTTACATGATACGTGCCCAACCGTGCCTGTACAGTCACTCGGAAAAAAAACAGAGCTTTGTCGGTTTGTCAAGTGCGCTCTGATTTCTGAGCTAATTGCGTCCACAAGTAGAAACTAGAACACCATGTGCCTCCACTGGAAGGCCAAAAGACCAACACATTATGTACTATTGAGGTAGGTGGCATGCGGGTACGGAGAAATGTTATGTACTAACGAATTATGTACTAACCGGCCACATTTGTATGGAAGTGATCACGTTTCGTCCGGGACTTGAGATTTCTTATATACTAACGGGGTTTATGTACTAACCGGACTCGTATTAACGGGGGACGACCTGTAATTCATAGTAATGTTTCCACTTCATCCGAACCAAACCACCCTGTGCTCTTTCTTCAATGAGCAGCATTGCATTCTAAATTGAATATTTGTCTTCTAATGTGGTGCTGCACTGTGATATACAGTTCTGTGTAACATTACATGTACGGCATCTGTTGAAAGTTTGCCATGGCCGGCGAATGTTGTGTGAGATGATATACTGGTACTGTGTGTGCATGCGGTTGACAGCACTGGCTGTGGCACTTGCGCACGCTCAGTGCAAGGCATCATGCAGTTCCAGCTCCCAATTAAACATTGTGTGTGCGTGTGTGTGTGTGCGTGTGTGTGTGTTTGTGTGTGTGTGTTTTGTAGTCCACAGCTGCGAATCATTGGTCAGCAGTTTATGGCGAACAGGCAGCGTCGGACTGTGGCTGTGTATCCGGTGGTCTGCTCACTGGAGAAGTTCCATGCCTACGTGCGAGGTCAGTACATGTAGTCATCTACCTATGTTAGGGAGCATCTCATAAGTTCGCATTTTGTTTCTAAACGTAACGCATTTCGAAACGGGGGTAGGGGGGTAGCGCCCTCTTCGAATAGAAAAATGACAGTTCGCACATTTTCTGGATGTGTACAATACTGTGCTGTGCACATGGTGCATGTGCTAGACGGCTTCAGTTCATGGTGTGTTCATGGTGTTTAGGTGTAGATCTACCTATAGTGTGTGTGTAGTATTGTTTGCAGAGCAGCTAACCCTGCACTGCATGCAATCAATCATGCAGGCTACTCAGAGGTGTCAAATGTCACACCAGCATCATCAAACCCTGTACCTGGCCAGCTTTCACAGTAGTAGTGACAGTACAGTCTTTGTGGAGAAACTCTGTTTGTGTGCGTGTGCATGTCATTGATTGTACTTGTACTCAGTAGATGCAGTACTACTGACTACTGTAAGTCTGTATGCCATTCACTTCCACACTAGCAAAACATTCATGTACAATCATGTACTTGTACATGACTGATTGTACATGTACATGTGCATACCGTGGCATGCATGGGAATGTACAGTAGTACTAGTAGATCTACATGTACGTGTACGTGTGCATACCATGGCATGCATGGACATGTACAGTGGGGGGAAGTAGGGGGGGGTAAAGTCTATTCGAAATGCGTTACGTTTACAAAAAAAGTGCGAACTTATGAGATGCTCCCTTATTTATGCATTTTTACTTACTAATTTTTTAGATAATAGTGGAGCAGTTTGAATGTCCCTGCTGATGCATTGAGTGTATTACAGAGTACTGTTAGCTGCCTAATGTTCGCAGGATATTCATGTTTGCTAATTTTGCGAGAAGAGCATAACGCGTATATTAACCATCGTGAAATCAAACTTCAACAATGGTATATGTGTGGCCACAGTGCTCCGCGAACATTTGCCATCGTAAACTCGCTGGTTCTGAGAGATCGCGAAAATTTAGTGCCGTGAATATTGGGCGCTTTACAGAGTTCTCAGTTTGAGCACTCTGGCAAGGTACGTTCGGGCCTGGTTTAAATCTGGCTTTGGAAAATTTATATTTCTTTGCTATCAGGTTCGGCCTCATTTCCTCTGTGCTGCGCTGATGAGTCCACAAAGGACGAAACAGTTCTGTCCGCAGATTGAGTTTTGAGTACAAGTATCTCAGTGGGCTTGATACCAGTCAGGTGACACCACATGCTGTGACGTAGGCGTGAGCCAACTGCAAATGTGTGCTATGGGAGTATTCAACAGACTGGGGCTTTTGTGTGATATGTAAGAATATTCGTCCGAAGACGATCGACCCACGACCATAGAAGACTGTATTAGAATATATTATTTATCACTACGACATTGTCACAATGTGGTGACAGGAAACACCACAACTGGACTCTCCAGTCAAAGGAAAAGAACCACGCCAAAACCGTTTGGCTGCAACCACAAAAGGATAGAAAACGCGCAAATATGAATGCTCAAAAAGACACAAACAATCACAATCCGGAGAGGAATAATTACAACTCGTCACATCTGACACTCCCCCCGATTGACCAAAAGTTTAATAACATCATAATTAACGGATTAATCAACGCGATAGAACACCTTCAATAAATAATTACATGTCCAGAACATTATGAACATTGAATGATAGCTGCATAAGCTCATAGCGGTGGTCAATCAGACCTGTGGGGTAACTCATAATTTTTCTGACTTCAAATTAGTCCACGGTTTCTTAACTGCATCAGCAACGCAGCCGCTTGTACTGCCGCCGCTCGCTGTGGCCTGACAGATTGCAATGGCTCAGTCTCAGGCGCTTGATGATTCGGAACCGTGACTGCTTCCTCGGCACAGACTTCGAGTGGGTAGAGACGCTGGATGGGCCTCTTCAGGTGCGTAACGCTACCTTTCTTCGGTGTTGCGGAAGCGCGTTGTTAAGATATCCACTGCCTCCTCATAATTGGCGGATGTCAGTGCCAGCCCGCCTATCGACTCGGCAGCCTCGCCACGCACCAACGAGCGGAGATAGTTGAATTTCTCCACCTTAGCCAAGCCTGACTGACTGTGTGCTGCGGCCGAGAAGGAATCCCAGAAAGTGGGCCACTGCATAATGTCACCACTAAATTGCGGCAACTCCAGTTTCGGGAGCCTGGTTGTACACAATTGTCCCGGAGTGCTGATCAGTGGTGTACTCGTATTACTCTGAACCTGATCTGAGACGCTGAGCTGGAAAGGGCTGGGGGCTACAACCACATCAGATTTCTGCTGCAAGAAATATTCCACTTGTCGGATCACGAGCTTTATGTCCGCCAAGAATGAATCTGCTGTGTCCACTTCTGTCTCTATCTCAGACTCCTCCACCAAATCCAGAATCTGCTCGTCCAGTGTCCCAATTATGGAAACTTTCGCCTTCAGCGTATCCAAAAATTGCTGAAGTTTCACGATGGGTTCAGACCCTGCCAGTGTCGATGACTCAGATTTCATTTTTCCACGGGTTGATAATGCCAGGGTGTTCGTCTTTGTTGCGGACGCTCGGTGGCCTCCGCGTTTCCGCTTCAGACGACTCAGCGAAGCGACCTCGCTGACAGGACCAGCGCTGGCATTGGGATCTGTCATTGTCGCAAATTATAAACTGATTGCCGTCCTTGACTACAACCAGCGGCAAAACGACGATCCGGCTCGAAGGACCATGTGTGATATGTAAGAATATTCGTCCGAAGACGATCGACCCACGACCATAGGAGACTGTATTAGAATAAATTATTTATCACTACGACATTGTCGCAATGTGGTGACAGGAAACACCACAAATGGACTCTCCAGTCAAAGGAAAAGAACCACGCCAAAACCGTTTGGCTGCATCCACAAAAGGATAGAAGACGCGCAAATATGAATGCTCAAAAAGACGCAAACAATCACAATCCGGAGTGGAATAATTACAACTCGTCACATATCTGACAGCTTTCATGCTGCCTGCTCCAAAGATTGGAAGACATACTGCAAGCACAAAGACAGGCTTGGTTAGTAGTGACGAGAACCACAATGGGCGCACACGTTGAAGTAAAGAGTGATAGTCCTGCTAAATATCCGGAATTGAACAGTGAGGATTTGCAAGGAGCTGGCACAAATTGACAATATGAGCTGTGTCATTCAGCGACCTGAACATGTCCTGTGATGTTCAGCGACGTGACACTTAGCTCTAATACAGTAGCTGTTCCACCTCGGATGTGGTGTCTGATGGTTGTAGATGTGTATCATATTCCCTTTACGACAGTAACACTTTCCACTGGACTGAAGGACTGTTGTGAATTTCCGACGGTCTGCTGATACACAGTAGGCTGATTGTAAACCAGTGCTCAGTATCTGAGGGGTATTGAGCACCCTTGTTTGCTTTCCTTGTGTATTCCTTTTTGATTGATTCATATTAAAAGTGGTATTTATTAAATCCACACTTGGCAAGATGGCGGTAAATGTACTTGTCTTGTACTTGCTCACTGCCATGACTGGTCACGCGAGTCTCCCCCCCCCCCCCCCCCCCCCCGAAGAGGGGAGAGAGAGATACAAGATACGTGTAAATACATGCCTGCCCACACAGGCTCTGCCCACTTGTGTGTGGGCAGGTGTGTAATTTCTGCCATACTGCCAGGTGTGTATTACCACCGGATGAATCAAGCATACAGCTGCAGTGGAGTCTTCGACTGCATTGTTCCTGTTTGATGTTATTATTGCCTGATGATTGCTCAGTGTGAAACTCAGAGTTTCAACTGAACACTCTGACTTCTGTGTCTGTTTGTAGATATGCAAGTGTTGGTGTTTGAGATCAGCGATGGCATCAGCCGAGCTAGCCTGGGGCAAGCACGCATTACCGACTTCCAGTCACTGATTGAGAAGGCTCACCAACGTGGGTATGTATGTTGCTGGGCTGCTACTGGCTGATGGTGTTGGTACGTCAACTCTCTGGTGGCTGTGATCTAGCAACTTGTGTGTGTGTGTGTGTGTGTGTGTGTGTGTGTGTGTGTGTGTGTGCGTGTGTGTGTGTGTGTGCGTGTGCTTGACAGGTCCTACCCAATAATGGCTTCTCCATCTCGCAAGGTCGCGCAAATCCACGTCTACTTATCTCTGAAGTCATTTCCAACAGCCGCACAGGCCAATCTACCGTATCAAATTACTCGGCAAGGTCTCGCTTCGAACAAGGAGAATGTTGAAACTACTGAGGTTGGTGGCAAACAGGAGAGTGAAGCATCCCGATCAACACAGGTATATCAACTCAGGATGCCTATCTATACATGCACAGTACAGCGGTGACAAGGGAAATCCAACACCCCCCCCCCCGGAAGATTGTTACAAACTGTGAACCAGGGGAGGGGATTTCCCCTAGTACCAGTGTTGTACATTTTACGAATTGGCAGAGTCGAACCTGTCACGTGTGAATCATACCTTTGCACGGTTGACTTGAAAGCAAACATGCCTTAGTATTTACGCTGTACAAGACGTACGGTGGAATCTTTTTGAATTGTCAAAAGTGTTGTATTGTGCAAGGAAAGAGAGGTGTCGGCTCAATACTAGTATGGGATAAGCGGAGAGTAGGATTTATCTTCTCTCCATATGGTGCTTTGCGAACCCTACCCGTTTGTGTGTGTGTGTGTGTGTACGTGTGTGCGTGTGTGTGTGTGTGTGTGTGTGTGTGTGTGTGTGTGCGCGTGTGTGTGTGTGTATGTATGTATGTGTGTGTGTGTGTGTGCGTGTGTTCAGGCCAGTAGCAGTTTAGTTGAACACTCGACCCAGACGGAACCCGGTGTCAGCGCTACATCGCAAGTGCTACAACCCGAGATGTCTGAGCTGGCAGACAATCGACAGCGGCCGGCTACTAACCAGTATCACGACAGCGCTGGTGCTGGACAGCGACCACTCACTACGTTTGAGTAAGTGTTGGTGTACTTTATATACAAGTCTATGGTGACGGATTATACCCTTCTCTACATTAGCTGTCATGAATTTGCAAATATAACATAGAGCTGAAGTCTTGGCATGAGATCATTTTTCTTTTAAAAGTACTATGTCAAAACTACAGCAAGGAAGGGAGAAATGTAACTTTGGAGAACCGCATTTGCAACAATGACGACACCAACAGCAGCATTTGTAAGGACTGTTGTCGTTGTATGACCCTAATTGTTTGCTCTGGGGACTATGTTTATATTCTATTTCTCTGTATCACGTCAGTGAGGTTGAAGATGATGTTGAACGATGCGTCGACCTGGTCATCGGTGATTCTCGAGATGCTGCACCGCCTCGCCGATCCGCCAAACGTCTGCACAAGCTCAGCAAGGTACACAATCTTGGCGTTACGGGTTTGGCATTGTTTATATTCCTGCTGCTGCTGCTGCTGGTGGCGGTACCGATGGCGGTGGTGGTGGTGTGGATGGTGCTGTTGCTGCGGCTGCTACAGCTGCTGCTGGTGGTGGTGCTGCTGCGGAGGGTGCCATAATGGTTTGTATGTGCATGGCTTTCTTGCTTTTAAGTCTTGTGAGAGCTTCACTGCCTTTCTCTAACTTTATGTTTTTCCAGCATTGAGTGTATTTCAGTACTGTACTGCAGCGGATTCCAACACCAGTTTTGTGTGATTTTAAGTTGCTTCTATGGTGGGTGTTCCTATTGTTTTTCCAGCAACTCTTTGACTCCGATCAGTCCATAGACGCTGCAGCCATGCTGAGCAATGTGGATACTGCTAGTGTGGCAGAGAGTGATGTTAGCATGGAATCGTCTACCCATGGCGATTATGCTTCCAGTTCACCTTCTCCAAACGCTGGTCAAGTTGCTCTGAATCACAATGAGCAGTATGGGGAGGAAGATGACGAAGATATCCTGGACGAGGAGTTGATAGCAGAACTCTTCTACAAGCCCCCGGAGGTTAGTTGAAGTGTGTTGCTTCACCAGAGCCCAGTTGTCTCTGGGATGGGTTGTAGGTTCTTGCCATCTTCAGTCGGTTCCATGCTGATGGAGCCGAACCTCACTTACTAGTATCCGCCTCCTTCACCAACCAATTGAAGCTTGTTGCGGCAGATTATACTAGTGAACACTTTGGGTGCAGAGTAGCCCATTTCCGTTTATCCGCTTCTCTCATCTTTTTTGTTTTTGAAAATTGATATGTGTGTTCGCGCTCAACTCTCCCTTATCGGAACCTCACGTATCCGTGCACCTCTCTCCACCAGGCACGCCTAGGAGTGCGCTGAGTATTATAATTATATTATATTAAAGTGCTATCATGTCCATTGTGTACAGTGTTGTGTGTTACGAACACCCTTCGGTCACCCTTCAGCCCCAAGGTGCCTGGATAAGGGAGGGTTGAGTGGGTCACTTCACCCAGGCCATACCAGTTCAGGCTGAAAATCCGGAAAAAATGAAATTTCTGATTTTTGAAGATTTCTATATTCATAGTAAAGAATAAAGGACCAAGAAACTACAAGTTACGGTATAATGTCCACTATCACCACCAGTTACTAAACAATCAGCTCACGCGATAACATTGCACGACACTGACCGACGGTACTGATGTTCTGCAACTAACTGGCCAGTCAGTGTCGTGCAAAGTTATCGCATGAGCTGATTGTTTAGCGTAACCTGTAGTTTCAGGATCGCTTTCTGGATACTTCAATGAGTGGTGATGATTCTGATGCCTGAATCTTCACCAGTGGGTCAGGCAGATCACCAGACTCGCTCTCGCAGGCTCTTCTCTTCCTTGACTCCGTCGTGTCACACACAACTTCAGGCAACTTTGTGTTAAGGCCATATTTATCTATGCCGACGGTGCCGACGCGCACTACAATCCGTGTCACCCGTGTTGGTATGACAGATAACTGGACGGCATTTGTGGTGAACTTATTCGCCTTCTTATCTTGGCGAAATATGTTGCGAGTGTTCAAGTCCTTGACCAATTTCAGCAGTTCAATTGACGCAACTTCTTCGGCATTCTTGAAGGTCTCCTCCACTTCTTCGATGGCGCCTTCACACTTCATCACGGCTATTAGCATCGGCTATTACCTCCGTGAAGTCGCTGCACTTCTGACGAGTGATGTAGGTTGAACTGAGCGAGACGCCATGACGTTTTTCCAGGTCCACGAGGCCTGGGAACTTGGCAAAAGGAATTTCTTCGCTGGCTACGAAGTAGGAGATGTCTAATAACTTGGCGACTCTGCTTCTCTCCTCGCTTGTTGCGTCAGCCATTGCCTTGCTAATCGGTGTCGATTTGCAGATCTCCGCAATTGTTCTGGCATTCCTTGTCGACATTCCTACCGCCTTGCTATGCATATCCGACTTCGAATGTTTCACCATGTTGTCCTTCTTCAGAGCAGTCCCCGAAATCCCGTCCACAAAGACCGACTAACATTTCTCAGCCCACGGAGGGAGGACTTGTGCTGTCTGCATAGCTGGCAGAAAATTTGCGTCACCGCTGCACCTGTAGCTTTCTCAGAATGAAGCCATTTCTTCTGGACGTCGACCTCTGCCACCCACTTCTCAAAGGTACTCTGTCGTACAGACATGTTGGAGGCAGAACCAGACTAGACTAAAACTACAGCTTGGACAATTGTCAGAGAGCTATAATATCACGAAAAGAGGGAAGTAAACCAGAAAGAAGAAAAAATCAAGACCTTCGCCGGGATCGTGGAGGAAAGATGATACTTGTCAGTACGTAAGTACACTGCAGTACGGAAAGTGCATGAACTTACTGAACTTACTGAATCAAAGCCGCGCAAAGTGGTACCGAGAGTAGATAAATAGGAGTGTGCAACTCCGCATCTCTCCTGCACAATCTGCAGATACCCCCGCCCACGGGGGAATTTTTTTGTTGACGTCACCTTTTTTCAGAGAAGCGCGCATTTTGTCGCAGACCAGTGTGAGAGCACGTGCTGGGCACCGGCCTTGTAATGTAAAGCCCGGCCAAGTGCACGAGGCAAGACTTTCCAAAAGGCTCGCAGCGCGTGCGTCGTAGAAAAGATTACGTCAACAAAAAATTCCGCCGTGGGCGAACCCATCCGTGAGTTGCACACTCTTGTTTATCTACTCTTGGTAGTACGTGTAGTTCAAGTAGGACACCAGTACAGTCAGTATGTGCAAGCGAAACCAGCCAGAGTTCACGGGTACACATGTACTAGAAATCACACCTTCCCGAGAAAAAAAGTGGGGTCTGTGCACTGTACAGGTGTAGTGAGTGTACGGCACAGTCACGGCATCAATTTTACTGACTGCGTGAGCTAGTATGCAGTGCCGTTAAAGGCCGATTCAAACTTCATTTCGCGTACGGGAAACGCGTCGCGAAAAAGTTGATCTGAGCTCAACTATTTCACGTACGGGAAAGCCGTCATGAAGTATGAATCGGCCTTTATGCATCGCAGTTTCCTGCGAGTCGCTGTGGTTTTTGAGTTGCACTCGGTCGATTTTGAATCGCAAACTGCGATGCGATACCGGATAAATTCACCCCTGGGTTCAATAGCCAATTGAGTCATCTTTCCAAGGTTCCTTTTGAGTCTCTATCCCCTCTCTTGGGGAGACCCACATGACCAGTTTTGGCAGTGAGCAAGTACAAGTGTGTGTGTGTGTGTGTGTGTGTGTGTGTGTGTGTGTGTGTGTGTGTGTGTGCGTGCGTGCATGCGTATGTGCGCGCATGTGTGTGTGTGTGTGTGTGTGTGTGTGTGTGTGTGTGTGTGTGCTTGCGTGTTCTATGGCAGTCTGTGTTGGGAAGTGACGGCGAAGGCACTGCTAGCGGTATCAGCGAATCAGACAGCAGTGACCCGGAGGCTGACGCTGACGACCACACATCGAATGAACACGTCGAAACTACAGATGAGGGGCATCTGCATTACATGTTTCGCCGCAGCAATCAGGTAAGGAGTGGTGAACTGAGAGAGTCACCTCCAGACAAGGTTATTGTATTGTGAGATCCTGTACAGTGCTGCTGCTGCTCAATGCCATCCGATGGCGCACGTCCAGTAAGTGCATGGACTGGGTGCTGTGCAGCCCTAGACCTGTGGACACTGGGCCGTGAAATGGTGTAGGGTGCAACCTTGACTTACACATTCGGGTTTCAGTGAGCAGCACTGTATGTGTTCGTATAAAGCATTGCCCAGATGTTCAGAGTACCCGGCTGTATTGTTTTGTTTCGGGCAGGAGCATTTTTGCTTTTTCTTAAATGTCTTTAGAAATAAACAGGGTAGTCTGTGTATGTCCACCGTGTCATGGTTCTTATCGTAGGTACAGTTTGTGTCACCATTACATGCCTGCAGTCAAAGTGCCTCCTGGAAAGAGTGCATGAGGTCAGGAATTCCCAGCCCTTTGCTTTGCACAAATATGATCCTTTGGGTAGAGGTGACTGGTGCGAGTGACTGTGTGATATTATCGGGGAAGGATGACGATGCTTAGGTGATGCCCTTGCGCTGCCTCGCCATGTATCAATGCACGTCTGCTTGGTGTGCTTGCCCTTGTGCAAAAGCGGCCGCCTTCGCAACGGTCTGTGGACAACCTACTGTCAGCTGTGGATGCGGCGGCAGCTGCAAGCACTGCCAATACAAGTGGCGTAGAGCAGGGTGAAGATGCAGAGCAATGGCAGCTTGGACAACAGTCATCTGCGAGGGATGATGCTCTAGAACACCATTCTCAGAATAGAGAAGATGACGAGAATGAGCTTCAATTTACAATGTCATCTCTTGGCAAGGGCAGCGGTGTTTCTGACGATTGTGAGGACGAAGTAGGCACTGACGTTTCATCCAATGTAGCATCTTCAAGTTATGTGACCACTGCTCTCGGCCTGAAAGACTGCCTTGGAATAGGGCAGCTGGCTCGATTGGGTCGCGTGCGTGCGGCTCGCGTCCTTATCCACAGTCTGCTCTTCACGGACACTGCCTGGCAGAGGTTGGGCTTGCTGCTACGGCCCTCACGTATTCCACGCAGCAAGCATTCCGCGCAGGCCTCCAGGGATGATTCGGGCAGGTGAGCGAGAGAAAGGGGACGCGGAGGGGTTATGTTTTCTTTGTGCCCTTCTTTTCTTACAAGCATTAAGCGGGTAGGATTATTCTGCCATTATCGTCTTTGGCAATACAGAAGGATGCATTAAATCTACAAGCACCTGCACCGCTATGTTCATTAATGCTATTTTTAGTTTCATCATGCATCTTGTTGTCGAGATTGCATTTGTGTAAACTCATCATTGTGTTTGTGGACGTGTGCTTGTTCTGCCCACCTCAGGCCCAAGTCAGTGGAGGCCGTGTTTGCCGAGTACTGTTTCCCTGTTATGGCCAGTTCGCGCGAGGGAACCGCTGTCGAGGCCACGGAGACTGTGCGCGTCGCTGCCAAACTAGCCCAACATGGTGAGCATGGTTATGAAGTCATGTATTGGATCCTGCTAGGCGGCTCGGAAAGTGTGTTGAATGGCTTGTTACGCACTTGCCCAGTCGATCCAGACTTCTTCACAAACTTGAGGTCTCCACCCAAACTGCTGCAGAAGTACCTTTGCCCCTCCAGTTTAGGTGGACTGAAGACATGCTGCAGTGGCAGACCACAGTCCTGATGATTGTATCATGCTGGCCCACAGCACCATGTACAGTTGTGGCCAAAGAAATCCAACCCACGTGCTGAAAGCAGCGCCAAGGCTCTTGCGGCCCCTGCAGCCTTCAGATCGGTTTTTGGAACGGTGCATGATGTAATATAAATCGAAACGCGGCGCTACTTTTGATTCCTGGGTCGGATTTCTATGGCCACGACTGAGATTGGCACGCGTTCAGCCTTCTAACATGTGGACAAAGGTGCTACATGTTGCTTCTTCTTCACCAGTTTCAGCTTGCAGAATTGGGGGGGGGGGGGGGGGGGGGTACTTTGTTACAAGGGCAAGTTGAATGATGACTGTCCAGCCAGGTGCGGATCGTTTAGCAGTAGACCGACTGTCTTGCTCCAGCAGATCTCAACTGCCAAACATACTAGCCTACGCAAACAACATACTTAGTAGCTCACAGAAGTCGGCTGTGAAGCGCCATACTGGCACTGTGGTCGATGGTTTGGCCCGTACCGGTACTCGTACATCCTCACCACGGCATCTTACTCCTCGTTTGACTGTGCTGAGGTAGCATCACTACTGTCGCCTAAATATTCACTTACATGAACCCCTGTCTGATGAGTGATGTGGCTGGTAGCATCTCAATCCCTTCGGTGAAGACACCACATGGCTACGGGAAACACATTTTGCACTTCCGTGTCCTCCCGCGTTTCGTAATTTGTTTCACTTCTGTGCCTGTACACATGCACTCGTCTTAATCGCTCTCCACTGCCATTCCTGTGTCCTCTTTGCTCTCCACTGCCATTCCTGTGTCCTCTTTGCTCTCCACTGCCATTCCTGTGTCGTCTTTGCTCTCCACTGCCATTCCTGTGTCCTCTTTGCTCTCCACTGCCATTCCTGTGTCCTCTTTGCTCTCCACTGCCATTCCTGTGTCGTCTTTGCTCTCCACTGCCATTCCTGTGTCCTCTTTGCTCTCCACTGCCATTCCTGTGTCCTCTTTGCTCTCCACTGCCATTCCTGTGTCGTCTTTGCTCTCCACTGCCATTCCTGTGTCCTCTTTGCTCTCCACTGCCATTCCTGTGTCCTCTTTGCTCTCCACTGCCATTCCTGTGTCGTCTTTGCTCTCCACTGCCATTCCTGTGTCCTCTTTGCTCTCCACTGCCATTCCTGTGTCCTCTTTGCTCTCCACTGCCATTCCTGTGTCCTCTTTGCTCTCCACTGCCATTCCTGTGTCCTCTTTGCTCTCCACTGCCATTCCTGGGTCCTCTTTGCTCTCCACTGCCATTCCTGTGTCCTCTTTGCTCTCCACTGCCATTCCTGTGTCCTCTTTGCTCTCCACTGCCATTCCTGTGTCCTCTTTGCTCTCCACTGCCATTCCTGTGTCCTCTTTGCTCTCCACTGCCATTCCTGTGTCCTCTTTGCTCTCCACTGCCATTCCTGTGTCCTCTTTGCTCTCCACTGCCATTCCTGTGTCCTCTTTGCTCTCCACTGCCATTCCTGTGTCCTCTTTGCTCTCCACTGCCATTCCTGTGTCCTCTTTGCTCTCCACTGCCATTCCTGTGTCCTCTTTGCTCTCCACTGCCATTCCTGTGTCCTCTTTGCTCTCCACTGCCATTCCTGTGTCCTCTTTGCTCTCCACTGCCATTCCTGTGTCCTCTTTGCTCTCCACTGCCATTCCTGTGTCCTCTTTGCTCTCCACTGCCATTCCTGTGTCCTCTTTGCTCTCCACTGCGATTCCTGTGTCCTCTTTGCTCTCCACTGCGATTCCTGTGTCCTCTTTGCTGTGTGTGCCAACCGTCCAGGTGTGCAGTTTCATCACCGCTCTGTATTCCCGGTGCATTTCAACGAATCCGTGCTAAGCCGCTGGTGGCAGTTTTCACTGGAAGTGAAGATCTACGTTCGACGACAAGCCCAGCGGGTCAGTTACAAGCTTACATGTAGCTATGGCGATGGAGAGGGGGAGCTTTAGGGAGAGGGGAAATTATAGGGAGGGGAGTTATAGGGAGAGGGTGTTATAAGGGAGGGGAATTATGGGGGGAGGGTGTTATAAGGGAGGGGGAGCTTTAGGGAGAGGGGAAATTATGGGGAGGGGAGTTATAGGGAGAGGGGAAATTATAGGGAGGGGAGTTATAGGGAGAGGGGAAATTATAGGGAGGGGAGTTATAGGGAGAGGGGAAGTTATGGGGAGGGGAGTTATAGGGGGAGGGTGTTATAAGGGCGGGGAGTTATAGGGAGAGGGGAAGTTATGGGGAGGGGAGTTATAGGGAGAGGGTGTTATAAGGGAGGGGGGGGGGGAGTTATAGGGAAAGATGACATTGTGTATCTATAAAACAATACCGAGGTACTTCACTTCAGGTAATGGGATTACTAATATTAAGGTGTTATTCAGTCGGAGGGCGACGCTAGGGGTCAAACGTTTGAACTTCGATGTGAAGATGGTCAACTGCGTCTTGTCCGGATCAAGGAGAATACCCTTGTGCAGCCAGGAAATCGCGAGCATTCATAATGTCCTCAGCTTGTTCGAGTGTGATCCGGCTTAGGTTCCGTTGCGTATTCCTGTATCGTTTGGAAGGTGGCGTACAATGCCTGTAAAATCGCCAACACTCCAAAACACTGCAAGATCGTGCCTAGTGTAAGACAATAGTAGTGTAATTCAGTAACAATTCACGAAAGACGAAGCAAACTCCAAAAGCACCAAAGAAAAACTCTACATAGCTTGTACGTAAGGCCTTGTGGTGGGGCACCGGAGTATGGTGGCGTTGCTGTTCAGGTCTTGCCAGGTTGTGTGAGATGTACTGGTTCAAGCCTTTCTGTGTAGCTTTAGTCTGCTTCCTAATGGATTGCGTTTAGCTTGGCTGGTCCGGGTTTCGCTCGCACCAAGTGTACCTACCCTGTCTACTGTGCTCTTGTGAGTAATGCGTTGTGTACCGAGAACACTTCTCTGGAGTCCGGCACCGGGTGGGCCATGGTGTGGACCAGGTCTACACCTTTGGTTGCCAGCATCTCACATGGCATCACATTGTTAGCCAATGCCTTTTTTTATCAGCACCTCACACAGGTTCACATTGTCAGCGGACTTGCACGGTTCAGCAGTCTGTACAATGTGATCCCGCCGCTGCTACATCGGCAGCAGGGTGTGGGTTGGGCAGTACATGTACATGTGCATTTGCTGCTGTTCTGTCTCACAGCTCCCATCAACCGTACATAGTGCAGGGTTGGTGGCGGACAGCCGCATTGCAACAATGCATGCTGACTCGAGTCCACTTTCGCCACTGCTGGAAGTTACTCTTATACTTCTTCACTGTTGACTTAGCTCGAGAGCCTTCCGATATCTCTGGTAGCTGTTGTGCTAACGTCGTGGCCATGACCATGGCCTGCTGTCACATGACCATGGCCTGCGGTCACGAGCCACTCCATGCCCTCGGCCCCTTGTACACTGCCACCGCTGTCTCACTGGTGAGGTCCTCTTCAAAACTTTCCTAATCGTTCCCAAACAGTTCTAAATACACCTCCACAGCCTGCTTCCCGTCAAACTTAGGGACTTTGTGGTCTTTGGCTTGTGACGATCTCTTCCAACAGCTGCGCCGCCAGGGTTCTGACTCTCTGTAATACACGACCGAGTGACAAGGCAAAGTGGTTCAGTCTCTCCGGACTCACAAAATTAGTTAGTTTACAGAAGTAGGTTTTACAAGTGATTCAGAGTGCTAGGTAGGCCAGCGTTACCCTGTCGCTGCGTCTCGGTCTCCAGCTCCGCCATCCTGCGCTCGAGCGTATCGTGTGAACGAGCTAACTCGCGCTGCTCGGCCCGCTCCTCACGGTCACGCTCTTCATTCAGCCTTTTCTCTGCAAATGTTCTGAGCTCCTCTCCCTCATATCCATACGCCCTACCATTCGCGATGTAGGCAGCCTCCACCCTTTCCGCGGTCGGCTCCTCCGACATACTGCAACTCCGTATCCTGGCGTGGTCGCCAACTGTTATATCTCACTCACGAAATGTCCAGGAACTGAGTTTGACCAGTATATATTTACATGGCAAGGAAACCATATAGAGGATATACAAGAGAGAAAAGGAGACGAGAGAAAATTGCATGTTCACTGCGTTGAAGCAAGAGAGGAAGAACAGAGATAGGAAACCAGGTAAGGAATATCGAAAGAACAAGCGAATGCGAAACCGCTGTCCCCATCAGAACGTGCACGTACAAGTGCTCCTACAACCAGCGCAAACGACGCCAGCGTACTGCACGCATCAAATAAGGAAAACATGCAACCGAAAGTGTAGCCAGACAGATACTCGATCGCGACTGAGATCAGTCCGCGTAGCAAAATAGTACCTCATGATGTCAACTAAAACTAGGCACAAAAATACAGAGCCAAATAAGTAATAAATAAATCAAACACAAATAAATCAAACTACAGACAGTAATAAACCTAGGTGGATGCGCACAAACCGACATGGATCTTCGTACTATCAGCAGGTCAGTGAAGCCCCTTTTGTAAACCTAAAACCTTTATCAACACAAACTAGTCCGCTGCACAACAGTACTAGTGGCCATGAACAATTCGGTCATGACTCAAAAAAGTCGCCGCCATTGATCCGCTGAAGGTCATTTTAAAATTGCTGTGGAGCACAGCACACACTTTGCCTTGCCTTTTATGAGTGAGCTGTATGTATAGCAGGGATGAATTTATCCTGTATCGCATCGCAGTTTGCGATGCAAAATCGATCTACTGCTACTCAAAAGTCACCGTGACTCGCAGAAAATTGCGATACATACTGGCTATCCATGCGTAGCCTGTGCTGTCAAGTAACATGCATGCTGTGCGGTGTATGTGGTGCAGGTACTCTCAATCTGGGTGCACATGTATGCTTCAGTCGTTTTTTCTGCAAATGGGCTTTCAGGCATCACTCTCAAGAAGGACAATGTGGTAAACACTTAACTTTCAAAGAAAAATGCTAATCAAAATCAAGGACTACTACACAATTGTGACTTCATATAGCAGAAACTGCTATGCAAAAATATGACAGTAAATTCATCCCTGTATAGACATCACTGAAAACACCATGCGCTACTCCACCACCTGGCACGAGAAGAAGTATATTCAAGAGAGCAAATTTCAATAAGACGTGCCATGAGGCGTGCATAACTCCTGCAAGGTCGAGGGAAAGGAGCTAATTTCAGCAACGAAATGATGAGTGACACTCTTAATCCTTTCCGTTTCACTCTCCTGTTGTTGTTGTTGTTGTTGTTGTTGTTGTTGTTGTTGTTGTTGTTGTTGTTGTTGTTGTTGTTGTTGTTGTTGTTGTTGTTGTTGTTGTTGTTGTTGTTGTTTTTGTTTTTTAATTCTTTATTCTCACGATGGCACCATCGCCAATACGAGTTGTTGTTGTTGTTGTTGTTGTCGTCGTCGTCGTCGTCGTTGTCGTCGTTGTTGTGTCAAATCTTTATTCTCACGTATTGTTGTTGTTGTTGTTGTTGTTGTTGTTGTTGTTGTACATGCACTTTGACCTACTGCAGCCAGAGCTTGTCGGTTCATGTGTTCACCCTCTTCGTTCTCTGCTGTTGGCGTCCGGACCAACGCTATGTTCAGAGGCTAATGTACCCTTGCTCTCAGCTGAAAGTAAATCGCCGGCAGTGAGGGTCGATGAGTCAGCTGACAGTGAGCTTCAAGACAGCAGTGGCATTGGCAATGCTGTCACACAGTTCCTTGGCACCTTGAAGGTGAGTTGTGTGCGTGTGTGTGTGTGTGTGCGTACGCGTGTGTGTGCGTGTGTGTGCGTGTGTGTGTGCGTACGCGTGCGTGTGTGTGTGCGTGCGTGTGTGTGCGTGCGTGTGCATGTGTGTGTGTGTGCGTGCGTGTGTGTGTGTGCATGTGCATGCGTGCACACACACCGGCGGCCATGTGCACGTGTGTGCATGTTGGTGTGTGCACGCGTACATCTGCACTTCTACAGGCCACCATGATAGTAATGACAATTGCAAAACATTGTACCGTGTTTTGTAAAATTTGGGCCCGTCTTTAGTTGCCGCCTGTGTGAAATAAGCACCACGTCATTTCAAGGATTGTGGGTGGATTTCCAATTACATGTAGGTTAAAAGTTAGGGCTGTGTGTTTGTGTGTGTCCGTGTGGGTATTTGTGTGGATTGGACAGTTATCAGGCGCTTGTCTTGATCTGTCTCATTCAGATCTTGTCTGCTATCGTTGCTATAAGAGAAAATCTGTGGGTACACATCCAGTGCATTTGCAGATTTGCGTGCTTCTCTTGCAACGGGCGTATACATGGTACATGGTGTGGGTACTATTCATGTGGGTATTCATGTGGGTATTCATGTGGGTATTCATGTGGGTTTCATGTGGGTATTCATGTGGGTATTCATGTGGGTATTCATGTGGGTATTCATGTGGGTATTCATGTGGGTGTTCATGTGGGTATTCATGTGTGCCTGTGTGCGACTGCTCATGTTTTTCTTTTCTTTTTTTTCTGCTTGACATACATGTACATGCAGATGACAGTGGAGCTGTCACGAGATGGCAAGGCTTGGCCGTCGCCACAGCTCCAGCAGCCCTTGCCACAGTCCTCATTGAATGCGGAGAAGGTGGCCAAGGCACTGTCCGCCATGTCCGACAATGGCTGTCAGCACCTATCCACAAGCACGGCACAGGCGAATCCCCTTCGTGATCCCGGGTCTTCCACGCTACAAGGCAAATATCCTTCCTCGCCTGACATTCTTCATCTGCTGCTGCTCATCCCATCGGTCCAGCTATCCCAGGACAAAGCTGTGGGTGGCACATCCAGCACAGGACGCTTCTTGAACCCCTACCTGGTGTGCCGCACCGCCTTCAATCCGCAGCCTGTTTCATCCGATGTTCGCTGGGGCACTCTACAGCCCATCTTCAAGTTCAGACTGGTATGTAACCTGGCTATCTTATCATGTGATGCCGCTGTGTGTGTGTGTGTGTGTGTCTGTCTGTCTGTGTCTGTCTGTCTGTCTGTCTGTCTGTCTGTCTGTCTGTCTGTCTGTCTGTCTGTCTGTCTGTCTGTCTGTCTGTTGGTGGGTGAGTGTATTTCATGTTTATACCCACCCTTGGTTGGTCCGTGTGTGTATTTGATATGTGCTCACCTGCCTTCCTACCTTGGTCTGTGTTGTTGTGTAGCTTGTACCAGTCCTTGCTGAGGAGAAAGCTGTCAAGGAAGTTTGTAACTCTGTCATAGTCGTGGAGGTGTGGAATCGCGACACACAGGCACAGCAGGACAAGGTAACGTGAGCTTGTCGTCTACCTAGGCTGCTTGGTATGCTGTAGATCACAACACAAGAGCAGTTTCTTGAGCCGGTGCTGACCCGATCATTGTAGTGTGTTGTGGCTTACTGTGGACCATAGTATTTATTTTCACAATGTCCTGTTATTGGAATGTTTATTTGATGCACAGGCATCATTGTCGATAAGAGAATGATGTTGCCACTGCTGCTGCTGCTTCTGTTGTTGTTTTTTGTTGCAGCTTATTGGACTTGTGAAATTACCTGCACATCAGTTTTATTTCTCGTTCCGCGACTCACGACTAGCAGCTGCGCTATATCAAATGAAGGTACAGTGGAACGAGTTGAGAGCACACTGTGATTTGGCTGGGTCTGCCACCTTCTTCTACTGGCATGGCTCATGTGGTCGTTTGCATGTGTGTGTGTGTGTGCAATGGCATGTTGCTCTCCTAGCGAAATGAAGCGCCACTTTTATTCTGTGGCATGTCCCAGCCGCCATGGCTTAATTGGTTAAAGCGCCTGTCTAGTAAACAGGAGATCCCCGGTTCAAATCGCGAAATACCATTCATAGAAGAAGTCAGTGGTGTGATGTCGCCTTGCTGATTTTGGCTCAAAATTAAATGCAGGCGAGTATGTCACCATGGTATTTGCGTGGCTGGGTCCAACTTTTACAAATCTACAAGCAACTCTTGATCCTTTTTGTACTTTACCGCAAAAAAAGGTCAATATCGTGCATCGCATCGCGAAAGTTGAGCCAAGCTCAACTTCTGCAATGGGCCAGTTGCGATGGGTGCGTGAGTTGCGGGGGTGGGTGCGATTTGGGGGATTTCCCGGTTTCATGGCCATCGCATCGAGCATCACAAAAATGCATCTGTGAGTCCCTCTTTACAAGCACCGTCTCTCATTGAAGCCCAGTCTCTACTATAAGCGCACTCCCCCCAAGGGGGCTTCGAAGATGTACAAGCGCAGTCTCCGATATAAGCGCAGAGCGTATAGCGAAGAACTGCAAGGATCATGTGCGTACATGTACATGGTTGATGTGTTACACAGTGTGACAAACACACACGTGTTGTGGTGCAAGTCCATGATCCCCGTGATACAGTCAGTATACATGTAGACTCAGTGTATCGGCAAGTACAAAACTGCAGTCACTGTACCTGCCGGGGAACTTTGTGCAACTGGTATATTATATAACAAAATAATAAGCAATGTACATGTACCATGTGGATAAACAATTATAAGCCCAATCTCTTGTAGAAGCCCAGTCTCTAAAATAAGCTCAGGGTCCGGACTGGTTGGAAAAATATCAGCCCGGGGCTTATAGTGGAGATAATCCGGTAGCTCACATGACTCTTTATCTGCTGCTGGCCCTGTGTGGTGTCCGTCTCACCGCTTGTTTGCATTCCTGTCCTGTGCTGTGTTGTTTCCGTGTCGCACACTGCGTTGTTGTAGATGCCTGTGGTGGCTGTCAATGGGGACAGTGCCATCCTACCGCTGGCCAGTAGTTCAGCGTGTGGATCAATGAGAACGCTTCTAGCAATGGGAACAGCTGAACAGGTGAAGTACAGTGTTGCTCGCGTACTGTGTCACTGTTGTTCACTTTAAGAGAGCATGTCTGAGAATACCAAAGTATGTGTGCAAGTGGATCTCTCCGATTTCGCTCAAAATTTGCAGGTAGGTTCCCTTTGGGGTGTGGATCGATTATGCAAAGCCCTTGAAAAAGTTTCTGAAGGGAACCTTGAAATTTGCATACCCCTCAAAATGGCCGAAATATCACATCATTTATGGGTCTAGAAACGAGTCACGCCACAGCGTATCCGAACAAGCTATGAACAAAACTCCATCAAGCCAACATTGCCTCACCTTAGAAGAGTTCCTGGAGCAGTACCGCTTAGCCACGCCAGGATCCCAGAAGACGAGGTCCATCACCCCCTGACGCCACAAATGATCGTCTTGAAAATAGCCAATATACAAGCGCTGCCAAAACAGCCAGCTACGTCCTCAATTGGCCAGAACTATACACCGGCAGATAGTAGAACACCTCTTCTAGCGCTGAGGGCATGCCCCCCATCTTCCTTTTGGGGTTTTCTTGAAATAAACTTTTTTGAATTTTTCCACTCGACCATACTGAAATACGGCCAAAGTCATACCTGCGCAGGAAAGCTCGCCCCTCCACCAATAATTTTTCTTCAGTCACTTTTGCATCAACAGTCGCACAAAAAATTATTGGTGGCGCAAGGAGAAGCTTGTCGTTTGGAGTGACAAGTGATCACCGCTGCTTTTCCTTGTCAGAGTCAACAATACACTTTGTTCTGCGGCCTTGGGAGTAGTGTTGGAGTAGAAATTGCTGAGGAGACGTCGCGGAGGGGCGAGCTTTCCTGCGCAGGTATGACTTTGGCCGTATTTCAGCATGGTTGAGTGGAAAAATTCAAAAAAGTTTATTAAGGTGACACCAAAAAAATAGAGATTCCCGGGCCCTCCCGCACCAAAATCGAGCCAAAGCCAATTTTTTTTTTTTTTTTTTTTGAACAGTTCATACATGTACTTGGTCCGTTTCATCGCAATTGTCGCATATCTCCCACGCACCTTTTGACAGGTAAAACCCAGTCCGATCTCGATATCTAACTCACATTCGTTTGGGAGGTTGTGATGGCAAGATCAAAGGAGACCAGAAAGAAGGAAACCATCGCGACTAGCGCCAGTGGCATCGTGATTCGTACGATTTTGTTGGGAAAGTGGGGAACTTTTCGCTGCAGTGAATGCACTGCAGTGAATGCACACATTCGCTGCAGCGAAAAGCCAAGCGCAGAAAGACCGGAACTGTAGAGGGGGAAATCGACATCCTGACCTGGAGAGCGTGACAGTCACGGCCTGGCCAGCCAGCTCAGTCGCCACGTTTGAACTGCAACGACCTGGCATTCTTTGCAAGCCTGCAAACTGATGGCGAGATGGTGGCAAAGAAGACATTGTCCGACCTGGCCTCGGCAGTACAAGAGTCGTGGTCAGCGTATCCAGCAGAGAGGATGACAGCTGTCTGAAGAGGGATGTGTGCCTGATTCGAAAACATTGTTGAAACGTACAGTGGTGACACACGGGTCACGCTGCCCACGTTCCTCCAAGTGCCAAAGTGACAGCCATGACTGTTCCTTTCCCTCCGATCGCTGCCATACGCCAAGCGGAGAAAGCAAGATATACTCTACGCCAGCAGATAGTATACACACCAGCGAATGTCAGCTGGTGTGACATCAGCTCGAGTAATACAGAGCCAGAGTTGGGTAAACTAAAGCGTGAGTGCAAGAACCCGCTCCGTCGCTGTTTTCTTTTGTACATTTTTTGTAACCTTGCTTCCTTTCTTCGACTTGCTTCATCAGATTCCATCGCTGAATTTGTGTTCTTGTGGCGGACAGGATTCCTGTATCATGCTTCTTCACTATGCGTATTGGAAATTTGACAGAGCGGTAAAAAAACTCCTGTTCTTAGTTGCGATAGATAAGCGACAATTGCGATGAAACGGACCAAGTACAGTACTAATCATGTGAGTAGATCTGTGACATGGAGTCACACAAACCCGAGCTTGTACGACTCCCTGATGTACAGATCAGGGCCATCCATGCATCGTTGGCCGAAATACAGAAAAATAGAACGGGTAAACCGCGTACCTGTTGTCTGTAAAAAAAATGAATAAAAATTACCGGAAAATGCTGTAAAAAAAGTTCAACATGGCATGCACACATAAAGTCATGTACATACATGGGAAAAAATAAAAAATAAAATTCGCCCGCCCGCACCAATTTCACAAGGGTCCTGCCCGGGAATCTCGATTTTATTTTGGTCTCGCATGATCATTTGTGGCGTCAGGGGGTGATGGACCTCGTCTTCTGGGATCCTGGACTATTCTGTACCCGACTACCCGAGGTCCTCACGGGTAGCACGGGTACCCGACTACCCATGCACACCCCTAGTTTACATAATTGTTATATTTCAACTAGGACATGACGGAAACAGGAACTGGTCAGCAAGGGACGAACAAGAAGACTGACAAAAGGGCTGTCGACTGCAACATCGCGCATGCTCATATCACACATAATGCGACTAGACGAAGACGGTTCGGGGAATGTCATCACACAGGAAAACAATACATTATACAACATGGTCGATAGCAATTGTTTGCCAGTATTTTTTTGGTTCTTCTCAGCATGCGATAGGTTGACATGTGCTGATCAAAAACGTCAACGCCTCCCATTCCAGTGTTGTAGGATTAGATGGCGTTGGGCTGCTATAGCTGTACAGTGTAGTTTGGCATGCTGGATGCTGACCATTCACTTTGATATTAAAAAATTCTCTCAATGTTGACAAATTTCCTTTGCTTTGACATGCCTACTTGTGTGTGTGTGTGTGTGTGTGTGTGTGTGTGTGTGTGTGTGTGTGTGTGTGTGTGTGCGTGCGTGTGCGTGCATGTGTGGGTGTGCGCGCGCATGTGCGTGTGTGTGCCGGCATGTGTGTGGGCGTGCGTCCGTACGTAAGCGTGTGCACATCTGCGTACATGTACATGAATGCATGTGTGTTTGTGTGGTGTGCTTGATTTCAGATTTCAAACATTGAGAAGAGCTTTGCTGATAGAGGTGCCTACATGCCACATGAAGAAGACATACAGCCAAGCAGGTGCGTTGCTTCTCCTCTCAGTCCACCAAAAAAGTCAGCCCACCCGTTTCAGTGTTCAACCACCATTATGAGCTAATCAGTTGTTCATCTATACGCGTATATAGGCAGCTCGCTCAGTACGATCCTTCTAGTATTTTTGTCTCAGTCATCTGTCATGGGTCCTTTTGATGCGTTGTGTGTGTGGTATGCATGTGTTGTGTGTGTGGTGTGCATGTGTTCTGTGTGTGGTGTGCATGCGTTCTTTGCAACTCAGGTCTGGAGATGTGCAAGTCCAGGAGAACACTGGCGAAATGCCTGCGACTACTTCTGGTGTGTCTCTCCTACATTCAGTTGTTTTGTTCTATCTACAGTATTGGTCTGTGCTCTTGGCTGATCCTTGCAGCTGAGTCTGTTGCAACTTCTTTGTTCTATTTGGAGCAGCAGTCCACTTTTAAAAGCGTGGCAAGTGCAGTGTTTGCAGTCAAAGTCACCCATGTGCTCACATGTCCCAGCCTATTTTTGCTACATACACACTACATCCTGATGCTGTATAGAGTACTAGTATACTGCTCGATGCAACCAGTCATGTGCTAGATTGAACCAAGAGTATATAACCCCCCAAGAGTGTGCAACTCTGCATATGGGGTCTCCGACGGCGAAAACTCACATCACGTGTCTCAGGTACGTTTCGTACTACGTACAAACGAAGGATAGCGTGCGCACGATCCGAATGTCTGCCATGATCATGCTGGGGATTTGCATACGTGCAGTGAGTTTCTGTCAGAGTGGGTTTTTTATTACTCCGCTGCTCGCTAAAAACGTCCTGGAAACGTACAACTGCAACACCACATCACGTGATGTGAGTTTTCACCGTCGGCGTACCCCATAGAAAGGGTATCAGGAGTTGTACACTCTTGGGGGGGGGGGGGGGGGGGGGGGGCGGGGTGTATATACTCTTGATTGAACCTGTAGGCAATGCTGTGATAAGAGTAAGGCTAAGTAACTAAGTATATCACTAGCTGTCAAACAGTACCTCTCCCGTTCCTATTCTCTTGTATTGTTCTAACTTTTGCCGTCAACGTACGTACAGTCAGGAAGTGCATGCACTGCCGTGCGCGTGCATGTACCGGAAATGTATCAAAAATTTCAAAATGCAAGGCAGCACATGGTCAGATATTGTTGTATGGGGATACTTGTTTTGGGCGTCATCTATATTCGGATACAGAACTTTGAGTGTGAGGTCAAGAATCCGTGTGTGTGTGTGTGTGTGTGTGTTGGGGGGGGGGGGTACAGTTTTTCGGGTGCGTACTGATATGCCCCGGTCTACAATAGCTTGTGTTCCATGTACCTTGCTTTGTCCTGTGTGCTGCATTGAAGGTGTTCCAGTGGATAGCAGCAGCAGCAGCAGCGTAGAGCATGTATTCACTGTGGACATTGTGGCCGTACATCAGCTGACACTGCCACCTTCACAGCAAGCAGTATGGGGCGAGACCGACTGCTATGTCCAATATCGCTTCCCTACCATATCCACTGCCAACGGTAAGAATCGTTAGTATTAATTTTCTTATCTACTCCTGATGCTTACTGTCAACTGCTGTGTTCACCCTTTTCATGAGTAGGTCATAATCGTGAATGTTAATATTTTTTTAATTTACGGTTCGGTGGGAGCTGAGTAGATCAGACCCACTATCAAGTGGTCAAGGACCGAAAATCCCATTCGCTGCATCCGCGAATGGTAGCCAGCGTGAAATCAATTTTCAACTTTACTTATGTGCCTCTGGCCACCGCAAACTAGGTGATTTGAGACATCGCTAAGTGTTAGTATCACCAGTATTAGGCACTTTACAGGGCCTCACTCCACCATGCGTCCGTCTCAGCTACCTGTACCTGTGGACCACGCATGCTCTATGACATTGGTTGTCACCTGTGCACATCTTCAGGACGAAGTGTGTGCTTTGAAGCAACATTTGGTGCTTTGCAGATCTTGAACCAACCGTGCAATGCGATTTTTGTCCTACACGTCTTGTACACATCGTGTACGCACTTCATCATGTTTACATTTGGGCTGACGGACCAACAATTGACGTGGTTTCCCGTGGCGTTTAGTGTACCAAAATTCCGTGTTTTGAATGTCAAAGCAGTGGTGGCCGAGTGGTTAAGGCGATTGACTAGAAATCAATTGGGCTCTGCCCGCACAGGTTCGAATCCTGTTCACTGCGAGGTTTTTTTTGCAATTTTTCCCAAAGCATTCACATGCGTGACAGTCTTCTTGTCCATGTCTGTTGAGTTGTGATAGTTTAGAGTAAACTTTAGACTCTGTTCTTCTTTGCCTTCTTTGTTTTTTTCTGCTGGATGATGTGAATGTACCAGTAATGACGGAGGAATTTGAACGCATCTTCTGTTGTTGCTGTTGCTGTGTAGTCAGAACACCGACGGAGGTGCTGTTGCTGCTACTGTGACTGTGACTGCCGGTGCTTCCCTCAGAGCTGCTTTCGGAGAACCTCCATGGCCTGCAGTGTAGGGGCCTTGGGCAGAAGTTAGGCGCTGTCACTGTGGAGAGTGAAATGGCATCAATGGTCACTCTGACGGAAGCATGCCCGCTTTCAGATAGCCATACACTGCATGTGTGGACAGGAATGGAGGCACCGAGAGTGTCACTCCTGGTCTGAATGAATTGCCTGGAGCGACTATCGGTGCTGTCCGTGGCGAGATTGCCCACATACACCAAGGCACGCTTGTTCCTGGGTGGCCCTGAGGAGACAAGCTTCCATGAGTCATCCTCCATAGCATGGAAGACTGGCTTGGGTTGCCTAGGCCTGGGGTGCTTTGCAGGATGGAACTCTGTCACATCTGTCTCATACTCAGAACACTCCTTCGCCAAGCGACCGGTTCCCTGGGGCTTCCGATCTGCATTTGAACTAACGCTAATGCCGGTACGGGATACAGTGCTGCTGGACTCCATGTGTCTCTGCAGTTGTGTACTAGTATTCTTGCTACTCTGGACTGTACGGGTACAGGTACTCTGCTTTAGGTATTCAACTTTAGCTTGGTGAGCAGGGCCTGGCGCCTCGGCGCGTTTCCCGGCGGCAATGGCGGATTTGGTAGAGACGATTTCTTCGCGGAGCTCCTTGATTTTGGTGGAGAGCTCGTCCACACGGCACAGCAGTCGCACCTCACGGTCTCGACTCTGGCTCACATAAGCCATGACTGATGAGGGTCTGCAGCAGGCTGACGACGTGTTGCTCGATGCCAGGGAGGCTGCACAGGAGTTTGAGCGATTCGCCTGTCACCTCGCCCATGGCCGGCGGAAATGAATGAAAAAGAAAGGAAAACGGGCGCTAGCACTACACTGCTCTACCCCACTGCACTACTACTCCTACTGCTAGCTACTGCGAGCCTCCAGACCGGCCCGATGCCGGCTGGGCTGCCGAAAACGGCGAAAAGCTACGGAGCTCCAAAAGTCCTAACTGGCCTGATGGCGATGGAGCTAAACATTCTGTGATGGACTTTGAGAAAAAAAGTGCTCTGGGGGCACTAATCACGCAAGTATGGTTGTCAATCTCATCACACTTATTTGCAGCGGTAGCTGAGAGCGGAAGTGCTTCCTCTTCTGAATCTGAAGCCCCGTTCCCCGTTTCCCGGTAAGCTGGTTATGGACGGTGTCAGGTCATGAAGCTGCACTGCACTTGCCAAGCCTCGACGCCGGGACCATGACGTCTGGGCAGTCGACACTGTCACACCACCAGTGCAGGTGTTCCTGTCAAGTACTGCACGCTTCATCTGCTGCTGATCTACTTTGAAGTGGATCCAGCAGTAGATCTACCATACAGCTCTGTGCATGTACTAGTCACATACGGGCATTGATGCACGTATCAATGAAGCACTGTGTGTGCTGTTTGTGTGATCTGTGTCCTTAGGTAATGCTGCTGCTGCTGCTGGTGGTTGTGGTAGTGGCCATGATGATGCTGGTGGTGACGGTGGCTCACTGCGCATCACCTCCACGGTGTGCCGCACCAGCACAGCTCTGTGTGCGCCGGAAGCACGCTATCGCAGTGCACCATCCCGACACACCCTGCGCCTAGCAGTAGGTAAGCCAGTGCAGACGCTGCTCATCAAGGCGTTTGCCACGGTATCTGCCTCATCGTCGTCGTCGTCATTACACCATTCCAGTGCCATGGCGTTTGACCTCTGGCAGCGCTTCTACTCACCGAATGTCCGCGATAAGGTCATGGCTAAGGTACGAACGTGTTTAAAAATAATGTGTGTGTGGGGGGGGGGGGGGGGTTGTGTGTGCGTGTGTGTGTGCGCGCGCGCGCGTCTGTGTGTTTGGGGGGGGGGGGGTGAAGTTCCCCGTAGACTGAAGCTGCTCACTCTTTCCAATCTTGTGATGTACAATAGCCTTTATAACATCTACACAGAAGCATGTTTGCTATGGTCTACAAATGCCTACAATAAACTTGTAGTACATGTAGTATGAGTAATATGGATGTGTTGTGTTCTTGACTGGATGTGTTCCAGGCTATTCTACCCATTGCCAAGCTATGTGCTCTGGTTACTATGCACAATAGCCAGGCACCACTCAGCAAACAGGTGTTCAACTTGCCTCTGCTACCCGCCACCACCGCCGCTAACCCCAGTTCAGCGGTAGGTGCACTATATGCATGTATTGTACTGTACACACGTGTGTGTGTGTGTGTGTGTGTGTGTGTGTGTGTGTGTGTGTGTGTGTGCGTGCGTGCGTGCGTGCGTCCAAGCACCTCAATGTTGCACATTCTGCACATATGGCTGGACGGGTACTGGCTACCCCAGCCCTAGCCCAGTCTTGGCCCAGTCTTGGCCCAGTGTTGCCCGGTCTTGGCCCAGTGTTGCCCGGTCTTGGCCCAGTGTTGCCCGGTCTTGGCCCAGTGTTGCCCGGTCTTGGCCCAGTGTTGCCCGGTCTTGGCCCAGTGTTGCCCGGTCTTGGCCCAGTGTTGCCCGGTCTTGGCCCAGTGTTGCCCGGTCTTGGCCCAGTGTTGCCCGGTCTTGGCCCAGTGTTGCCCGGTCTTGGCCCAGTGTTGCCCGGTCTTGGCCCAGTGTTGCCCGGTCTTGGCCCAGTGTTGCCCGGTCTTGGCCCAGTGTTGCCCGGTCTTGGCATTCCAGGGTGTATACTTGCGTTGTTCGGTGGCTTCCACCGATGCTCTACTGTATAATACGCATGTACGTGTGTGTTTGTTTATGTTGTTTGTTTTATCAGGCGATGCCATCTGGCCAGTCGTGTGGACGTTTGGAAGTGGCTGTATCCTATCAGCGGCTGGTTTGCGAGGTAAGGATGCGTATCATCTTGTGACTGTGCATGGTGTATTTGTGCATGGTGTATTTGTATTTGCTATTTTTCAATGAGTACGTGAAGAATACAGTCAACTTGGGTATGAGAAGACCTCACATCCCCTCGCTATGTAGGTGTTGTTTGTCCGGTTGGTGGTTGAACCCCAGTGAATGCTACACGTGTAACTTGTTGGTTTGTATCTATCTTGTGTGGTCTTGCCGATCTGGTCTGCTACAGCACTCCGATCCACACTCTGATCACCAGCTGGACAGGGGAGTGACGGTCGCATCTTCTAGCAGTCACGTCTGCATTGCTGTTGATCTGCATCGTGTGACTGGACTACAGGTGACTAGACCAATCTGCAGTGTTGTGTGCGCCGTCGTCTAGACTGCATATACTAGTACTAGTACTAGTATATGCAGTGCGAGTAGCTCTGTGCAATTACATTGGCCATGCCGGCATGGAAGGGATGTTTAATGTTACGTATTTAAAACATTGCACGCTCTCGCTTGTAAGTTTACATTATGAATATGTGTATGCGTATGTTTTCAGCCGGCAGTTCAAGCTGCGTCCATCGACCAACCATCCCTGCACTTTGCTGCCACGGCCGGTGCTAACGTCTTTGCCAGAGTGCAGCTTTTGGACAAGGTAAGTCAGATCATTTCTCTTCTCCCCCTCTTCTCTTCTCTCGGTCTCGTATACGCATGCACGCGCGCGCACACGCACGCACACACGTTGACTGTTTTCACCCTGAAGATGGGCCATGGCCGAAAATTTGGTGAATTCAATTTAACCCTAATATAATGTGTAAGCGGCTGCAATGGAGTCTGCGAGTGCTTAGAAAAGTATAGGACGGCATGTTAAGTTTAGGATGGCTATTTGTTTTTATCGACATGTGGTGTATATTCCATGGTGTTGTTGTTGTCCTTGCACAGGCGCCCCGTGACACACCACTCATAGTGCGTGCATTCTGTGCCGAGTTTGCACACCATAGTGAGTTTGCGTGCGCGGTTGTCAGCAGTTCCGTGGTGTCTGGCACCATTGCTCCCAGTGCCGCCGCCGCTGCTGGTCATGATCCTGTGTACAACCTTGCTGAACAGCTGCAAGAGGGTCGCTTGACAGTGCGGGTATTTCACAAGGTCAGTCCCTCTGTATCTCAATGAACGTTGAATATATGTGCGTACCGGTGTACCCATTCTGCACCGTGGGAGTGCTTCTTCGAAGTTGGCGTTTCATGTTATAATATCCGGTTTTGTTTCTCTGGTCTCTGTGTAAGTATGAAGATGTTTCACACAATACTCACACAGCAATGACACAACCAAGTCCTTTTCTGCCGTTACTCAGAGTTTCGTGTGAAAAAAATACTCATCAGACAGCATGTTTCAGATATAGGTTTGATGGAGATGATATGTTGCCTAGACTCCCAAGCTTCCTTCCTACCATGAATGTCCATGAATGTCCATGCATGTTTTCTGTTTTTTTTAATAGAAGAGCAATGTTCTTCAGCCAGTGTCTTCCAGCTACCAGCTGTGATGCTGTGTGCATTGTTTTGTTTTGTGTGCAGATGCGCGACAACGAGCCTGTGTACCTTCACGGTGATAAGCCAGTGGACCGCAGCTCCAGTGTTGGCTCTGGCGGACATCACCCTAGAACAACAGGCTTGGCTAGTAGCACATCATCACCTACTGACTGCGTTCTGCTAGGCGAAGTGACACTGTCCCTGGAAGACTTGCTCTCACACTCATCAGGTGCGTGCTTTTCCACCTCTGCTGTAAATAGGGAGTACCCAGACTAATACCCTGGACTAGGTATCTCAGCACGCATACCCTGGACTAGGTATCTCAGCACGCATACCCTGGACTAGGTATCTCAGCACGCATACCGTATAGTCTCTATTATAAGCCCAGGTCTCCATTACTAGCACAGTCTCTAATACTAGCACACTGTGAGCACCTTTCGAAACATTATGAGCACAGTCTCTATTATTAGCACGGTATTGGTGGAAATCAATGCTGCATGCATGATATCCAGCATGTATTTCTTCTTGCTCTGTATGGATGTATTGGTTGAAAAAATATAAGCGCAGTCTCCAATATAGGCGCGGTCTCCAATATAAGCGCGGGGTAGAGGGGTGTTGAAAAAATATAAGCACGGCGCTTATAATAGAGAATATACGGTAATGTATTTTCACTCTTTTGTGTGTGTACTACATCATGGATGTTTGTACAAGCAGTTTCGTGGCCACTGGGAGAGAATGGTGACCGACACTGAGCAAACGTGTCCTGCATGAACTATTAAAAAAAATCTAATCTGAACAAACAACATGGGAAGAAAACGACATTGTTCAGTGCTCACCATTTCACTTGGATTTTGTGGTGGTGCGTTCATCAAGTTGACTCCAAAATAAGACCGTCTTGGTTGATGGATGCTGTCCCGTTTGCATTCAGGTGTGTGGATATGTGCCTTCTTGCTTCAACTTTTTTGAAGTATGTGTTTCAAATAGATGATGTTTCCTCAAGCCTATTATTGCATATGCGTGTGTACATGGGTATGTGTACATGCTTATCACTTTGTGTGTTGTTTTCGCTGTTCAGGTATCCAAGGCTGGTTTTCACTTGACAATGAGCAGCTCTCTTCTGAGGCCACTGCCCAGGACGCGCGTCTCTCTGCTCCACTTGCAAATCGCCTCGGCGCGGTGCAGCTCTCCGTCGAGTTTCTGAAGACCACGGACCGCAGCGTGGTTATCGAGGCAGGCCGGCGCGCTGGCTGGTTGGGTTCGCTGCCTGTGTACTCCTTCCCACGCCCGCAGCCTTCATCGTCAGTAACATCAGCAGCGGCGGCAATGCCAAACGAAGCACAGCTGCAACCAGCTGACCATGTACACATTGAGTTAGTGTTTGACCAGGTGTGGCTGCCACACGTTTTGCTGCCTTTCTCTATCCGTCGCCAGCACTCTCGTAGCCACGGCTCGCGACCCAATGTTTACTTGCGGTACAAATTCTTTAACGAAGGTGAGTTTCTGACAATTCCTGGTGGCGAGGAATGTAGTCTTTTGAAAGTAGGGCAGTGTTGCGTATGTGGGTCTGTACTGCAGAGTATAGGTAATGGCAGGCAGATAGCTTGCCAAGAGGAGTATACGACTATAGCCAATGCCTGGTTCTGCTGGTGTTTGATGAGCTTTGGCGTGTGTGTGTGTGTGTGTGTGTGTGTGTGTGTGTGTGCGCGCGCGTGCACGCGCATGCGTGTGTGCTTTGTTGGTGCATGCACGCTCCAGTTTGTAATGTGTCTCTTAGCTCTTGTCAATGGCTCCATCGACATGTGTATCACAGAGCTGATGATTGCGTGATCTTCACCTTTTGTGTTATTGTGCTGTCTATGTCAGGTACCGTACTCAGCACATCCGTACCACTTGCAGAGAGCTCAGAGCACACCAAGCACTCGACAGCCAAAGCCGGCCATGACAGAACTGTGAGCAGCGATACAGAGCGTGTCTCCTGCACTGATCTGCGCCACAGCCACCTCATCCGTATCCCGACGTCGGATGCCTTACTCTGGTGTGTACACATGCTTGTTTGTAGATCATAGTGCAATTTGGAATACATGTGTGCTGTTCTACCATTGTACATACTCTGGCTAGCTACCCTGCTAACGTGTTACACTTGACCTACATGTAGGCAAACATGCATAGGACTCGATCACTGATGCATGCCCTTCATGTTATGATTTCAATATGTACAGCGTACCACTGAACAGTCCCTATGCGTACCATACAGTCGGATCTAAAACGTGTGAAAATATTGCGATTGTGATGAAGCTAATCATGAAGGTGTTCCTGTATCATAGCCTCTTTCCTTTTCTTCTTCTTCTGCTCTCTCTCTCTCTCTTTCTCTCTCTCTCTCTCTCTCTCTCTCTCTCTCTCTCTCTCTCTCTCTCTCTCTCTCTCTCTCTGATTTTGGCTTTGTGCAGGAGTGTGGTTATAGCGGTAGCAAGTATTCTTGTATTACGTTTGTTTATCGTTGGATGTCTAGGTACATGCAAGAGCAGCAATTTGAAGTGCAAGTCTGGTGTAGTGACTCTCCAGCTCATCCCAGTACTGTCGCTGCCTCATCCTCAAATCCTACTTCTACTGCTGTAAGCCATTCCGCCGATGACTCCAGTAGTCCTACCACGGGTACTGATAGCTCAACAGCAGCGACAGCAGCTTCAAAGTCTGTACTTGAGCATCAGCAGCACCACCATCATCACGTCGCATCCGCCTACATTCACTTACGTCCACTGCTGGATCAGCGGGCTCAGTACCAACTCAGGTACGGACGAGAGTGATGTGTGTGTGTGGGGGGGGGGGGGGGGGGGGGGGGGGGTGTGCGTGCAGGGGCACACATTCTCATATTTGTCTGTGCCATAGTATGTGTAAAGTTTTTTGTTGTCAACCAGAGATACTGTTTGTTGTGGGTGAACGTAACTGTGGCCGTCACAATCTCCACGTGTCTCCAGGGTGCCGCTTGGTGATATACTGCAGTTTAAAAAAAGTCTATTGCATGAGTGTGCGTGTAGACGCAGGTAAGAGTGTGTTTTGATATTTAAACGCCTTTATGAGTACTAGTAAGCCTCACCCGCTCAACGAAAACTGCATTTTTAGTTTGGCAAGTCGTCCAACTCCCTGGGTCACTTCTGTCATAGACCCCGGTGTTCTGGAAAATCTAACAAGCCTGGTGTCTGCGTTGTGCTCTGTCTTCCCTAGTGGTCTGTACCCGCTGGTACGCAGTACAGCCGCTAGCCTCGCAGCTGCCAGTCTACGCTGCCACCTTGCACTGCGCCTGCCAACCAGCAGCAGCAGCAGCAGCAGCAGCACTGACCAGGTTAGATAATGTACATACTGTAAATATACAAATTTTCGGCCGCTATTTAATTTCGGCTATATTCGGCACCGACCCAAAACGCCTAAATTAAAACGCCGACGAAATTTTTCACAGCATCTGTCGCACTATACCATGCCCTCTCCCCACGCCGAAAATAAATCGCCGCCGAAATGTCAAAAATCGTGAAGTGCCGAAATTTTGTATATTTACAGTAGTCTAGACACTGTAGATAGTACTAGATAGCCAGCAAGCCTGAACTCATTGTAATCTGACCCGGGTTCATTCTTTCCACATCAACCCCCGGGAGATCATATCTTATAGCACTGTGTAGTAGCACAAACTTCAGACTCTTCAGCAACATTCTGAAATGGGTTTCACGGGTAAATTTCGTGCATTCTCTTCAGGTGAGATCATCTCATGTTTGGTGTTTGTAGTTTGCTTGAGGTTGGAGTGCATTCATGCATGCTGTTGCTGGTGTGCATTTTCACCAGCGTCAATACTGAGTGCGTGCACATGACATTGCCACCGTGTGCAAACCTGTCTACCGTTTTTGTTGCAGCCTACACCAGTAATCAGACATGCACATGCCCCGCTACCTCCTCAAGCAGCGGCAGGCACAGGTAGGCAGACCATATCATCGGCTAGTGCTCCCAGCATGCCCAGTGTAGGTCATGAGCAACCTGTCTCAGTGCCCAATGCAGCAGCAGCAGCAGCAGGAGCAGAACAGTCTTCCTTGGCGGCTGTCATGCCCACGCTGGGCAAGAGCAGCGAGACAGCACCTGATGAGGTGACACAGTCACCTGTGGACACCGTGCAAATGAGCGTGTTACTGGAGGAAGCACTGCACATTCCCATGGTTTACTCAGCACTTGGACAGTAAGTCGCTCATGCACTCCATGCTTGAACTGATTCCAAAGGGGGAAGAATATTGTCAACAATTGCCACTGCAGGCAATTCTTCTGTGGCCTTTCTTTGTTAGCTTTCAACCCTTTGCTGCCCTGTTTAGTGACAATGCTTGACATCTTATTAGATGTTTTGGGCTATCCTAGGGAGTGTTGTGATGCCAAACCACCACAGGCATGAACACCTTCTTGTGCAATGTTCAACTTCATGTCATGTCTGCTTCAATATTTGGGTGTTCACATGTTTGCATGTTTGCAACTTCCCATGCCATCGCCTTCTGTGCTTGTGACCACAGTGGGTGTCTGCAGTGCAAGTTCACAATGTGTGTGTATTTCTGCTTCCTTTCTCCTATGCTTCAGGTTGGTAGCACCAAATGTGTTTGTGAGTTTTCACCATGGTGCGAGCGGCTCGGAAGTGTGCCAAACGTCAACCCATGCCAGTAGCCGAAAGCCGAAATGGAATGAGGTATTTCAAGTCCGTGTCAACCGCCTGTTGCTCAACAAAGGTGAGCCTGTCGATGGTGAGGAGAGAGCGACTTCCTTGCATTTGCCATTCATCATCCAAGTCTTCCACCAACCACTGGCTGCCTGCGATTCAGGTAAGATAGGACCTTCCAAAACTAGCTTTCCTGGCAGTCTCTCTTTCTTACGCACGCACGCTCGTACTCAGCTAAAAGCACCACATGTGTGACAAACTTCACATTAAACAAGAAACAAGTGAATTCTTGTTGAATGCTTGTGAACGTGAAATCCTGTAACGATTTCGCCAGATGTATTTTTTAATTTCATGACTGAAAGTTACTTTCTCTGTCGTACTGGTGTGTGTTGCATGTCCAGGCACCACTGCGGCAACAACAGCAACACATCCCGAGCGAGCTGGCCGTGGATCTCCCGTGCTCCTCGGCCAGGCATCTGTTGACCTGACACCGCTGTCGTGTGGTATGCCGCAGCTCAGTGGCTGGTACAATGTGCTGGACTCTCAACAGCAGACATGTGCTCAGCTGAAGGTGAGTAGACACGTGTGCACTCGTGCAGGAACTCACCGCAAGGACGTGAAGTATCGTCTATGAAGATATTGGAGCACTGTAGTGTCTGTTGATGTTGCTGACAAAACATCTTGATATCATCACCAGCGGAAAGAAGAATGCTGCCCCCCCCCCCCCCCAATACTTAGTAGTCATTGCAACTGGCATTCCTGTTCCTGTGCTTGTTTGTGGTGATGATGGTTGTAGTCTACTGTCTCCCTTTGTTGTGTGTGGGTTTGTTTACAGGTGACGATCACCCCGTCTGAGCTCATCAGAGCAACCATACCATCACGATTGCAGCACTTATTGTATCGCCACCAGCAGCAACCCCCACAGCAACGGCAACAAGAACACCAACAACAGCTGCGGCATACCAGAGCTAACACCGCCGCCTCTATCAAGCGTAATGTGTGCCCTGAGGATGGCAGCGGCAGCCAGCGTCAACCAATCGCTGCCGATCTATTCACCGATCACCACTCACCCAGCAGTAGCACCCAGCCGACAGCGAGTCACGGCACTGTCAGCGGAGATCATGACAGCCAGGATGCAGCGCAGTCCTTCACGCCGTCCTGCACCACTCTGAACGCCCCTGGCGTACTTCAAGACCTTGCCAACAGTGACCAACAGTACAGTGATAGTCGTAAGCAACCGGATAATGCGGACACGGACGATTCAAGCGAGAACGGAGAACAGATCAGGTAGGAAAGTCGGTGTGAATGCTCCTGGCATTGTTTAAATGTTTCGATGGGAAATGATGTTGCTCTATTTATTCATCTTGCACTCATACCTCGGTTATCCGGACCCCAAAGTTACGGGCACTGCGGTCTACCGGGCACCCTTTGATCGAGTTTCAGTGGAAATATTACTACTTTGTTGTCACTTTTTGTGGAAATAGTGACGTCATAATTATTATATTCACTAGTTTGAGGGAAAACACAAACGGGAAAAGTCTGAAGAAAAAATTGACTGTCCCCACCAGGACTCGAACCAGGGACCCTCGCTTGTAGCTAGCGATGCTCTAACGACTGAGTTATGGTGTAGTCGTCATCCCAGCAGAGACATAATTATGAGTCATAATTATGCCGTATCTATGGCCTTCCTCATCAAAATGTATGTGATTTTTGACACACTTGTCAGAATTGAGCGTTTTGTTCCCTTGCCATACCAATAGGATCATATGCCATACCGATAGGACTGTAAGCAAGGGCGAGAACACTAATCCACTTTGGCTGTTGCCATTTCATGTGCGTACGGAGGATTTGAACAGGATAGTGTGTTAGTAGCAATTACCTCCATTTCATTCTATGCGTTAAGTTCTGTTTCCCCTCTCATGTTCATCTGCAGAAGTAAGGTGTTGGCAGATTTGTGTGCCCTGCATGAGCAGCTCAAGAAGCGTCTTCAGGAGTTGCCGAGCGACTCCAGCTCATCGGCCGGTGATGATGGTATGAGCACCAGTACACCAGCAGCAGCTGTGTCTGATGATGGCAGCAGCCACTGTGATGAGCTACATACGGGTAGTACACAGGAACTGTTGATGCACAGTAGTAGCTCCAGCAGTCCGCGTGGATCACAGCCCCGCCACAAGCATGGAACTATGGCGGAGCAGCAGGAGAATACCTCCAGAATTCTCTCACAGCCCGAGAAAGATGCTTGTATTGGGACACTGACTCTCACAGATGAACTCACTGGACAGCACTCATGTGCGCAGGACAGGAATCTGCCCGAAGCAGAGAATGATAGTAGCGGTGAGGACACACTGAGTGACAGAGAGATGTCTTTCGTGACTCTGCGCTCTCTCAACTCTTCTCCGAGTACAACTGACGACGGCTGCCTGTCAGATATATCCTTATCCCCAATTCCCAAGCGTCGACAGTTCCACACGAAGACTACACCCGTGACCCTAGGCTCGGCTTCGGGTGGGCCAACGCACAGCCTATCGGATGGGTCGACACTTGCTTGCTCGTCTTTGTCGGATTTTTTCGGTGAGCTCAGTGATGGTGGTGAGTGGCAAGATGATGGTGGTGTACAGCATCACGGTGGTCAAGTCACGCCAAGGCGGCACCTGCCCTGCCACACTACCCCGTGCAGCTGTGGACACCACTGCACCAGTGCAGCCGCCGCCAGCATCCCTCACAGTGCAGCTGCCAGCATCCCTCACAGTGCAGTCGCCGTTAGTGTGCATACTGGTAGCGTGAGCACAGTAGCCACCGCCGTCGTCACCACCATGGTATCTACCGGTGTGTGTCGTGATGACAAGGCGAGTTGCAATGTGTCCTCTAGCAGCACCGCCGCGAGAGCTGTATTGTCATATGACATAGCGGGGAACAGCGAGGCACTGTGCCCTTCCACTGCGGCGGATACATGCTTACCTACAGTGACTGCTCCCGTGTCCGCCACGCAGCCGTGCACAACTTCTACTGGCACTCACCGTGCATGCAACACGCCTGCTACAGACCACTCGTCGCCGATTCCTGATCCCAGCCAGTACACTCATACTGCATCATCGTCGTCATCATCAACGCCAGTGGCGGCTGCCAGTGTCATGTCTGCCACGGGAATATCCGATATATCCACTGCTACTAACTCCGACAGTTTACACACTGCTACGATTCCTACGGCAGGCATGCGTATGCGCCATCCCGGACCACCGCCCGCCCCTGACGCAGGTACACACGCCCGCACTCCTGGACCACCGCTGATTCCTGTCGCTCAGTTGCTCAGTCATAAATCGGCCACTAGCTCCACTCCTGGACCGGATTCCACCGTGCCTGCGCCTCCACATTCTCTCAATTTCCACCTACCCGCCGAGAGTCTGGCTAGCCGACTGCGTGCTTTTAGAACCAGTGCCCGGCAACTGCCAACGGCCTCGTTGATGCGCTCATCTGACAGTCGGCGGCCGCCACTGGCTGCACCGGCTATGTATAATGCCAGTGAGGTCCAGGGACTAGAGCGGGGTAGTGCTGACACCCATGCAACCACCACCGGTACACCAGCACAGCAGTCACAGTCAGCCATGGCTGCTGCTAACCAGCTGCTCAGGTCCATAAGCCTGTCCAACCAAGAGGTGGCTCGCGTTGCCCGTATCTTCGAGTCAAAGCTGAATTCCCACCCGACGTGATGTGCCTGCTGATATGCCCAGCAGCAAGGGCAAGTGCAGTGTCATGATCTCTTTCATGTGCCAGTCCATTTGCCATGGTGACGTCACAGTGATGTCATTATGCTCCCAAAATACTCATTCTCATTCACCAGTGACGTAACGGTATTTCATCACTCTGGTTCAGACCTACATATAGTATGTATCTGCATCAGGCCATCAACATACTTCGAAGTAGTCTTCTAGTTTGGAGAGCACAGTACCGGAAAGACACAGACATAGTTTTATGATCAACAGCCCATTTTTATGAAAATTCCCAGTCAGTATTTTAGTTTACAATTGCAGAATTGCTGCATGTCATCATTCATTTATCAGAATGACGGCAGATTTACGAGTACACTCGCTCGAATCCATCCAGTATTAATTGTTGTCACAGTGTGCACCACACACTGTACAAGACCGAGATACCATGCAAGCTGTCTCAACTGCACAACGCAAACAACTAGGTTGCTCTGTGAACATGTTCACCAGACAGATAAGCTGTGCCGTAGTACATGGTTGAGACGGCACACATGGTCAGTGCCTTGCATGCTAGGAGAATCTGTCTCATCAAACAGCCCGGCCCTTTTTTAATAAAATTATTTTGTATCTGGTAATTCGAAACTATGATTGCTTTCAAGGTAATGACATCGCTTACTGCGGCTTAGCCCTGAAGGAATTACAGGGCATGTGGGTGTTTGCTGAACTCACTCACTAGCTGCCAAGCACGAATCAAAGAACAACCTGTCCTGTATCTTGGAAATTAAATATTCGATACGCTTTCGCGCATGACGGTCATGGTCGTGAACAATTTGAAATTGAAAAGAATATTATGTATGGACAGAATTTGGCAAGTCGAAAAGCACTCCAGGAGAGGCAAACACGGCGTAATATTTTTTCTCAACATGACAACAGCATAGCAGCGGGTACGTGTGTGTGTGTGTGTGTGTGTGTGTGTGTGTGCGCGCGCGCGCGCGCGCGCGTGCATGTGTGTATGCTTGTACCCTACCAACAAGAGTCTTACCAATGTTTAAAAAAACTACAAGAGGAATAGAACATCCAGACAGGTCTTGACTTCCTAAAAATGCCTAGCAAGCATAAAACGATCTATTGTAGAAAGGAATTCGTCAACTATCAGTATCACTTATCGTATGTACACATGAAACCAACAACCGCACAAGACGGACAGAGAAAGAGAGTAATTCAAAATATATATAAGTTAAACAATTGATACGAAACACGTTCACACACACACACACACACACACACACACACATATCGAAAACAGCAGAGATTCGTAAGCCGCTAGGCCTGGAACGCGGACCCAGTATTGGTTTCAAGCACCTACCACTCCCTGCATGGCTTCAATAGAAACGCAGGTCTACCACTCCCTGCATGCCCCGTAGCCCGCAGGTACATGGGCATGTAGGTGAAGCACTGAATAAATAAGCATATCCTCGTACAAGCACATCCTATGAGCAGATGTAAAGTTATAAGCTAAAGTTATAATCTTCCCCTCCCTTCACCAAACCGCCCTTGTCAACAATCAGGAGTGATGTCATAAGTCGGGGAATGATGTCATCAGATGTTCACTCTCTTCAGCGGAGCGACGACGTGATAGCAACGGGCAAGCATTCTTATGGCGCCACAACCGTCGGTACACGGTATCCACTAACAGTGCAAGCATGATCAGGACTATGGATGCTAACAGCCACGGCGGTACAACAATGCCAGATCTGTTCAAATCACACACAACACACACACACACACACACACACACACACACACACACACACACGGAGGTAAGCAAGCAGGTATTAGTCGCAAAGGTAACTATGCGTAAAACACGACAAAAACAGACACACCGAAACACACAAAAACAAACAAACACACACACACACACACAGGCACACACACACACAGGCACACACCTTGCCCAAACAGTACACCATGTTATCGTGCGTGCGTGTGTGCATGCGTGTGTGTGTATGTGTGTGCTCGCGTACGCGTGCGTGTACGTGCACATGCCAGACCTGAAAGAGTAGCCACGATAACTAACTTGTGTTCCACAGTGGTATCATCAGTATCGCTTGCATTTCCCGCGGTACCACTGCTGGCAGTGTGACTGGCTGTAGCAGTTGAAGAGTTGTGCGTCACGCTAGAAGTCACTGATGTCAGTAGTGAGGATACAGCATCAGTACCGCTTGTTGTGTCATTGGCAGAGCAGTCGCTGCCGTACCAACCCTGTGCACGCATAAAGCAGAAAAGGAAAACAAAGATGAGTACGGAAATTGAGAATTTGTTGCGAGCATAGAAATCCTATTGGTGCACTATCGACGGCAGCATGCACCGCCGCCAGCCAACACGACGCACCTCGCAGTTAGAGCAGAATTCAATTCAGTGCACTCATACATATGAACATACACATACTTTAAAAAAGTAGTTCCCATTCAAAGTAACAACGCCCGTTTACATGAGAAAACTAAGCCGGGCCTTTTCACCCCTGAGCTTATGGTAAGCAGATGTCAGGGAGTACATGAACTAACGAGGTTTTCTTTAGTACGCCCTGCTGTACGTAGATGTAGTAAAGTGTTACACTGTGTAGAGAGCATGACCAGTCAGTCCAGCACTGCAGTCAGACATGATGAGCACATGTGCAGTCAGTCCAGCACAGCAGTCAGACATGATGAGCACATGTGCAGGCAGTAGCAGTACATGTACAACAAGTCCTGATTACATTTCGAATGCGTTGAGTTCTTTGTCCATTGTTGTTCTCATATTTTGCTGATTGTAATAAAACCTTTGTGTCGAGCAGTACATGTACAATCATATATAGAAGCCTTGCTTGATAGTTACAACATGTTTTCGATTTCGACAGCATGTTACAAGGCGAGGACGCATTCGAACCGTATGGGGAAAACCCATCCGGTTCAAATGGTCGCAAGACCGGGACTCTGCCAACCGGGGTATGGTTGTTGTAGTCAGGAGCACTGTGCGTCCTCGCTTTGTAACATGCTGTAGAAATGGAAAACATGTACTGTACAATCAGTTGTCAATCATGTAGCACTACCTACCGTGTTGCAAGTGCATTCGCCAGTGACGTGCGAACAATGACCACGCGAGCTGCAGTCACATCTGTACAGCAAAAACCAGACAGCAACATACACGCGCGCGCGCGCGTTGTGTAAGAAACCAGGGCGGCAAACTCTCTACACGCTGAGTACCCGTGTCTGTAGAAGAAACCACTGATCATGGGACAGTCATGGAAAGTAAGTATTGACACTGTGCAGGACAGCAGGAGGACACTATCTACTTGGAAACCCTCAACTAATGATGATGAAATCAACCATGAGCGGGTCGGATTAAGGCAATGCATGCGGTCTGTTGCTTATATTTTTAGGCCTAGACCTTGCAACAACCAACAAAAAATACGATTAGTAGCAGTAGCAGCATCAGAAGCAGCATATCTTGCTACACATGGTGCCACATGTAGTACTAAAGCCAAGTTACAAACAGAACACTCACTCTTGCGCACAGCCAGCACCAAACCGTCCTTCTTTACAAACTGAGAATCAGGGAGAAGCACACGCACATACACACACACACACACACACCAGCAGAATATTCAAGACAGAGGTGAGAATGGAGTACAAGTTGAACACGCGTCTCTCCGACACTAAATCAGAGCAGGGTGCAGGCGGTCTGGGAAATCTTTACCATAGACATTCACAGACTGAGAATACTCTCCAAATTGTAGACAAGACAGAGGCTACGTGGAAAGATCCAACACACATACGCACATGCATACATACAGAGCATAACAGTATTTTGAGTGAAATCATGAGAAGACATGAGTATGAAACAGCAGTGGCCGTAGAAGAGGCTTGGACCAGGCCACACAGATCACAGACATACAACACATCAGAACTTCAAACGAAGTAAATGCAAGTACAGTACAGTGCATTGTACGGTGCGCTGGGTTGCGTTGCACAGCACGTACCTTGTCTGCAACACTTGCCCTCGTAGCCATCATCACACAGCCATGTGCCATTGAAGCGATCGCAGCTTTTCTTGTGCGCTGACCAGCAGTACTCGCACTTGTGTTTGCAGTCGGGACCGTACGTCCTGTCCGGGCATGCTGCATGCATTGCACCAAGAGACCATGAGAACATACCGGTAAATGAGGTGGTGAAAATACGCATATGGGTTCACACGGACAGACAGACAGACAGACAGACAGACAGACAGACAATACACTGGCGGATAGTCGAACCACATAACAAGAGCAATACATGATTGATACTGATAGATGGACGTTTCGACGATTGTCTTCTTCAAAATGACAGACAGACAGACAGACAGACAGACAGACAGACAGACAGACAGACAGACGTAAACACAGACACCGATACAAACGTACTGATGTTACAATGCGTTCCAGTCCAGCCCGAGTCACAGTCACAGACACCTGTACACGCAGAGATGTAGAGTGGAGGCACACACACACACACACACACACACACACACACACACACACACACGCGCGCGCGCGCACGCGCACACACACGCACACACACACACACACACACACATGCACATGCATGCACACACACGCACACGCACACACACACACACACAAGCACCCTCACTAATAAGACAACAGACAGCCATACCTATTCCTACAATATGCTTATCCCTACTTCCAACACATCGAAGTCCCCAGATAGTTGGTGCTGACTTAGGATGTGAAAAGGAGTCACAAGGTTGCCACAACAACAGGTCGAAGCGTGCAATGTTACACAGGTGACATCGAGAGTGCATAAACAAGAGTATGCAACTGTGGTTATGGGTCAGTGCGTGGCGCGCTGCCTTCATTACGTAACTCGCCTTCATCACGCTCTGAAAGCATGCATTCAAACTCTCAATTTCTCGCACGAGCCCATCCGTTTTTGCTCGATTCGTTCCAGTACCTACACAATCTCTGAATTCTGGCGCGTGAACTCCAGTTCCGTACGAAAGTTCATTTCAAACTAGAGGGAAAGTGTGGTGTTTGATTTTCCGCAGTGCGCGGACTGCAGCTGAATGATGTAATGAAGGCAGCGTGCCGCGCATCTGGCCCATAGAAAAGAGATCACAGTTGCATACTCTTGTTTATGGACTCTTGGTGACATACATACATGTATTTTTTTGTTGTTGTTGTTTTTTCCATAGTCCTGCTGCATTTTGAGGTTTCCTTTAAAAAAAATTACAAACAAATGTGTATATCTACTCGTAAACGCAGAGGGGCTAGAACTTCGAAGTGAAACGTACCTTTGTTACATGTTCCATGACCGGTGCAATGTGCAAGATTGCAGTCGAGCAGTTCACACCCCACACCGCGATATGGCGCGCGACAGTGACACACGCCAGCGTTGCACACGCCGTGCTCGCTGCAGTCGTTCGGATAGCACTCCACGCCGTGCACACAGATGATCGTGGAGACCCTGCGACCACATCTGTAGATGGGATTGCCACTGAAAGAGAGAGAGAGTGTGTGACATGTACATGTAGATATACAACAAAGAGTTGGTAATCATGGTAACAATGAGAGAGTCAAAGTGAGGGAGAAGCAAACAAGAAGTTCTGTGTGTGTAGTAAAACGCATAATCTAAGGTAAATGGTTGCCTCAACACTAGTACATTATGTATTGGAAGGCCTAAGCCTTTTCATCAATTTTTTTACAAAAGCTGCTCTCCAAGAAATCCCGCTGGCAAAAGTGTCGCCAATGCCCCCACACATACACGCACTACTGCGTGACATCTGGGCATGTACCCATTGCAGTATCGCTTATACCAAGAGTACACAACCCCCAAGAGTGTGCAACTGCCTGCACAACCTCTATGCTGTGCTGCGACGGCAGAACTTCACATCACGTGACATGGTTCAAAAGGTTATGCTGGCAAACAGTGCAAAGTGACCACAAGAGAGTTGTACCCAAAGCTGGGCTGCGTACAACCCTGTATCTATCATGCACAGAGTGCAAATAATGTGTACGGGTTCATCACGTGATGTGAAGTTCTGCCGTCGCAGACCCCATAGCTGGAGTTGCACACTCTTGGGGGTTATGTACTCTTGGTAATACTCCATACAAGTACGTACCAATGGTCTGATGGATAGCTAGCCACAACATCCCGGACCACGGTCGTCGCCGAGCCACCGCCATCCAAATTGATGGCGTTCACGACGCCGTGCTCGATCAGAACATCGGCAAACTCGCGCAGATTCACCCTGCCACACAATGACAATAGCCACAACAGCAGACATGCATGGCACAGAAGAGATTACACCATTCTGAAGTAAACTCGGCGCCGGTGATGATAATGTACAGTGGAGCCTCGCCCTTTTCACATACTACAAGCCCGCGTAAACGAATATAGACACCTCCTTGTCGACCATTTGAAAGCATAATAGTATTCATTTGTCCAAGACAATAGCATGACGACTTTGACGAGAATCCTTCCATGCAGCACATACACTTGGACAAAGCACCAAGAGTACATGGTGAAGTAAAATAAAGGTAACACAACAATGTCATAACACAACAATGTCATAACACAACAATGTCATAACACAACAATGTCATAACACAACAATGTCATAACACAACAATGTCATAACACAACAATGTCATAACACAACAATGTCATAACACAACAATGTCATAACACAACAATGTCATAACACAACAATGTCATAACACAACAATGTCATAACACAACAATGTCAAAACACAACAATGTCATAACATAACAATGTCATAACATAACAATGTCATAACACAACAATGTCATAACATAACATGAAACCCAGAGTGTGCAGCTTCTGACTTTTCCTGATAGGCGTCTGTCAGGGCGAAATTCCGCGATTACATCATAGTTGGTGGAGATACGCCGGGATTACATCATAGTTGGTGCAGATATGCCGCAGGGCGCGGGAAGTGGCGTAGTAGTAGTGCGTACAACTGAGCTGCAGTTGTGCAGCACTATACCTGCTTGAGTTCTTCTTATGCGCACTGCATCGCTGGAATGATGCGATCCCGGAATTTCGCCGGCCCGTGACAGCAACCCATCCGAGCTACACACTTTGGGTTTCATGTACTCTTGACAGAACTCACCCTCTCTTCCTGGTCTGCCCCTCGATGTGGACAATTATCACACGGCCTTCACTGTCATGGCCAATGGCGGTGCGTGCGCTCACAACATCCACAAACTCCTCCATCGTGCCCGTCTCCTCATGTGCCGCCGACTCCAGCGCAATGCTCTCGTTGACGAACGACGAGCCATTCCGTACCAGCCAGACAATACCGCTCACGGCTTGGCGATAACCACCACTTGCTATCTCATCGCTGTTCATATAGCCAACGCGGATGTCGCCTTCATCCGTGATGGCAAACACTGGGTTCTGCTTGTTATCACCAGCTTGAGACACAGATCGGTCACTGATGACTACACCTAAACATGCCCCGGATCCCCTGAAGAAGCCCGCGTTCATCGCAACCTGACATTTCCTATGTTGTGCTGTGTCCTTCACCGTGCTTCTGGACACCCAGTACTGCGAATTGCAGCCGGAGGGCTGCGGATTCGTTACTGATAGCATATAAGCAGGTCGGCCAACTACTGTTAGGTGTCCCAGCAGTGCAGCATGGCTCCCATCCTCACGCCACAAACCGTCAATGAAACGATGCACAACATAATCATCGCCTCCTTCTACTGCTGCATTGGCAGCTTTTATCTCCTCATACGTATCGTTGAACCCATGGTCTTGTAACGCAGAACGTATCTCTCGGTGCGACCGCCAAGGCCCAAATTCACCATTTTCAATCTGATATGGTGATAAAACGTCAGCACAGCTACAGATCTGCAGGGCCAATGTCGCTGTGAAAACAGCCAAATAGAAAACGCAATTGACATCCATCCATAACTCAGATCGAGAAGAAAACTGAGAAAGGGAGAAAGAAACACAGACGTCGTTCCCTGCTATATCCGAAACGAGAAGCTCCGACTGCTTTGATTCATGTTCAAAACTTCAAACTAACTACTGTAGATCTATGCAAGAGCCAACCGCACCGCGATCCGAAATGATTTTGATTTCTTGTTGCAAACAGAAAACTGAGATATGATGAGAATGGCCTTGTTCATGTTTGTAGTTTCCGAATGACCTCATCTCGCCACGTGACGATTTGAACAAATCAAAATGACATCACATCGAAGTTTTCTGTATCTTTTTTTCCGCAACTGTATTGATTTGCTATTGGAGACTATTTTTGGGAAGAATAACATAGAACCTAGACTGGAGAGTAGAGAACTTGGTTTATGTACTCTTGTCTTGATAGAACCAAGAGTGCAGTTGGATGTTGCGATAAATATTCTCCTGACCCAGTAGATATACTAGTATGGATTCTCGTCGATCACGACCAATGCCCATCCTGGATCGTGGACTGAGCAAGGGCAAAACTGAAGTCAACCTGAGCACGTTCTCTTTCTTATTCTCGGAGATAATTCAATACAGCCACAACCGAGTGCAGTCAGTGCACGAGCTCAATACGAAGCTGGCCGATTTGGGGCGTTTTGTTGGATTTCGTGTTGTGGATCTGCTGTTCGTCCGCGAGAAGAATTCTAGACGTGAGACTCGTCTCATTGGAATGCTGATGTTCATCAAAACTGTCCTGTGGAAGAGTTTGTTTGGAAAGGAAGCTGACAACCTGGAGCAACAACGTGACAATGAGAATACGTACTACATCATCGAGAAGGAGCCAGTCATCAACAAATTTATTTCAGTTCCCAAAGAGCTGAAGGCCAACCTCAACTGTGCCTCCTTCGCTGCTGGGATCGTGGAGGCTGCTCTGGAGGCATGCAACTTCCCAGCCAAGGTTACCGCTCACTGGCACAAGGGCACTACGCTTATTATAAAATTTCAGGATTCTGTCATCATCCGTGACAAAGCCATGGAGGCTCGCTAATATCCATATGACTGTGTTTGGTCGCAGGAATGGATCAATTATGAGAAAGAAGCTTTGAAACTGTTGACAAACATTGTATTTGCAGTTTTATTATTATAATTGTGAGAGGACTTTGAAAGGTGCATACGCGCGCACGCGACACACACTCGCACACACACACGCACGCACGCAGGCATTGTACTGCCGTTGCGCTAACAAACTGAAGCAAACCAAAGACATGTAAATAGTGTACATACAACACATTGCTGAAGTACCTTCTTTGTGCTTTTGACATTCTGTATTTTCTTTGTTATTTTCTTGTCCTGTACTATGTAAGTTATGAATCATTCCTGGTGTGCGGCTAGCACTGTACTACACAACCGCGACCAGGTGGCTAACTGTAAATCTAAAAATTTCTTTCATGAATTCCCTGTACAAACCGCCCAATGAAATTTTCACGGTTGCCACCACCTGGCACCAACACCTATACTAAAGTAGTCCTTTCCTCCTTTCCCTGGTCTATGCCAAGTTTGGGCACAGTTCTCTGGCTGGTGTAGACACTAGCTTCCCTAGTTTATGTTTTTATGGTCCTCAGTAATTCAGTCACACGCTCTCCTGTAAAGCAAGACGTTTCCGTAGATTGCGTGCGGAAGATTTTGAAGTCTTACGAAAGGAACCCTTACACTGGACAGCCTTGCTGGAGTTTCTCCATTCACGAGATTACGATGCAGCTACTGAAGTGGACTCTCACGGAAATACGAAACATGTAACACGTGTACCTGGTGTACTGCAAAGTTTAAATTACTTGTTCTCTAGTACAGGTACTTCAGTGTCTATTTTGATGGGTGCGCAGATCATGTGACAGATCATGTGACAGATCATGTGACAGACCTTGTAACAGTAACTAGTAATGCATTGTAAATTAAAGTCGCAGTACAACGTGTGCACTAGCAACTTGCGCTGTATACACGGCGTCCATTAGCGGTTCCGCTAACTCCCGCCACATACATACTACATAGCGCCCGTAAATTGTTCTGTTGACTCACCACCATGACATCATGTGCATTTAAGCTCTCACAGTCACTTTAGCATATCCTGCATTGAGTCATCTTATACGAATATGATTGCAACAAAGCCATATACTGGTATGGCGTACTCCGAAAATCTGTCCCGATGATGCCAAACTTGGAAACAGGTATCTCTACGTACGTAGAGAATGGAGATCGGCCAGCATCACAATGTGTCTTCTTTGCGACACTGTACTTCAAAACCCCGTGCAGTGCTCCAGCTGGATGCTACCAGCTTTTTGGTGAGAATGGGAACCAAGGAGTACTAGTTTCTTTAGTACACCCTGGTGAGAAAACTGGAGGAGTCTACAAGTGTACTGGCAAGCGATTTTGCAACATTTTTTCAAAGATAGGAGCAGTAATATGATTCACACCAAACATAAGATTAGTAACGGCCGCGATACTGAGGTATAAAAGCTGGATCAATCAGAACAACCACGTGGCGGCTTGGAAATGAACAACCCATTACACTGTACATGTAGCTCACGGTCTGTGACGTAAATAATAATAATATATGTATCTGTGCAGGCAACACTTCAGGACAAGCACCAGCATAGTCTGCAGCACCAGCACTGCTGGGTCCACTGCGACCATTCACTGAGCAGCCAATGCACGCAAGGGGGAAAAGTCCGAAAAACCAACATAATCTTTAAAATAGATCCTTGAATGCCGTGACATGTACAAAGAATGCTTTCAGCCTTTAAAAAATAATTGGTTGGCGCCTATTCTCGGCTGTATTCAGAACCGATGGTGATGCTGATTTCTCCAGGATGTATGAAAGTGGAATGATACCAATTGTTTGTGTCGACCAGGACTGTGGAGTTAAAAAAGACATAGAAACAGGACAGAACAATGTTTTCAGTATACAGGCAATCATCGTGATGACCGTGATTGAGTCATGATGTGCCGTGACTAGGGCTTAAACGGTCACAACTTTTGCATGACCGGGTATCCTCTAAAGTAACAGTCGAATAACCGGTTATTGTTTTAATAAACACAATTAAGACCTTTACATTGACATCAAAACAAGGCTTCCTCAACTTCAAGTCGAATTGTGGTGATGAAGACGGTTTCGTCTTCAGTGCCGAGCCGAAATTCTACAATTTTTTCTTGCACATGGTGTTAAGATTAATGCCGTACACCACATACTGCTACATTATACATGTGCATGAAAAACCATTTGAAACCGCAAACGTAACGGTTTCATAACCATTAAATTCTAGCGGTCGGATAACCGGTTATCCGGTATAACCGTTTAAGCCCTAGTCTACACGCGATTTTCACTTGTTTCAGCAATAGCCAGGACCAAGATGTATAGTTACATTTATAATCACCACACAGGAAGCGTGAGCTGCATCAGACCAGCAACCGGCATGCTGCACCACTGCCCTGAATGAACGTATCCACATATTGGTACACAACCGAGACCCGGGCCAGCATAATAATGGTAGCAAGCTATAGCTGGATGCCATCAGTTGGCGTGTATGGCTACACCTCTAAAGTATATCCGTAACTGAAGCGTGATCATCAGCGCTTGTAAACTTACTGATATCTCCCTTTCGCATGGTCGCTTCCAATTTGCCCGGGCAGACACTTTCGCACTCGGGCATTGGGTAGAGCGTCCATGTCTTGGAGCCTACGATTTGGGCTTGCCATGACGGCTTCTCTACGCTATCCACCTGCAGCAAGAGACAAGGCAAGTGAGCCAAGGAAATACAATAATATTAATTCAAGCCTTTAGCACTTATCAGTTCCAGGCTACTCATGGCACACGCGGGTCACGGTTCCACGGTTTCCAGCCGCTTGTTTCTATGGCGACCCTAGGAGAAAGCCACAATGATGTGCATGTACAATCGCCATTGAACCGGGGTGCGTGGAATTAGATGTTGGAATCGGCCCCGTAAATGTGAATATACGATACTGTACCGGCATGTACCAAATGCCAGTCGATCCCAGTGATGTACCATCCCTGTACTAGCTACCGTTACAAGCACTTGTGTTTGAGATGCCGGAGCTGAATTGGTCTGATCAGTTTCAAGACAAAACTAAGCAGTTCAGTTTGCCTTACGTGAATGAATGCGCCAGGTCCGGACGAGCCCATGAACATCCAGTCCAGGTTTTCCGCGTCATCCTTGGTGAGCTTTACGAAGTGTGGTACGGTGTACTGGGTGCGTAGCTTGCGCTTGACCCGTTCATCACAGTTACTCCTGCAGGTATATGCAGCCAAGGGCAACCAGCAAAAGAAACGATGACGACAACAACAGCAGCAGCAGCAAGAACAAGAGCAGCACAGTACAATGACTGTCAGATTCTCACCTAACTCCAAGAGCCAAGGTACGTGTTCTATTTTCGCATCAGTACTAGCGGCAGCATATAGTTTGACGTCAACTTTAGCAATGAGTGATGTAAAGACTCAATAGGTATGATGTTGCTGCACTGCGGTCCGGTGACGGTTAGCCTAATACCAGGAAAAGGGAGCTGCATAAATCGAACTACAGTACATGTAGTGCACTTTATCTGTTTATTCACCGTCTAATGTCACTCTTTTTTATTAGCAAAGCTATGGGGCTTTCGAATAATTATGATCTCTACCTCCTCCTCCCCCCCCCCCCCCCCCCCCCCCCAGGCCGGATCTTGGAAACTGTATTCCTGCACATTTCAGAAGCAGAGATAAGTTAACACGTTGTATAACATTCTCAGCCTCAGCCAGCTGCTACCATGTCAAGTAAGTTATGCATCCTTGCATTGCACGCGATTTTAAATGATAGGGTGCCATGACATAATTATGAGTTGGCTCTGGCTAACTGTTAATGTAATGGAAGCACTTCAAGTCTTTGCTGAACTAATACTTACCATCCGATGTACCATGGCACAAAGTCCCCTTCTAGGTGAGCTCGGTCGTCGGGCATTGCTAGTAGGTCGGTGAGTGTAGTGATGTTACAGCCATAGCTGAAGAACTGGCACTCCTCTTCGTTCACACGCACCGCAGAGCTGTGATTCTGGTAAAGCGAGCGGAAGTAGTTATAGCTGAACGTCTGCAGATGGAGACGAACGAATGCAACAAAGAACATAATAGTCGAGGGAACAATGTTTTTACTGTCCTCGTTTAAGCCACATGAATTTCAAAGGAACCAATCGCGCATAGACAAAGAGACATAAAGACGTTTCATGACAAATGGGTACAATATTATGTGGGGACATTTTTGCTGCATAGGGGCCTGCTTGGCGGTGAGACACCAAAATTCCTTGTACTGGAAACCCATTGTTGCGGGTGCGGCCGTTAGAGTATAGTGTACCGATTGTGAGCCATGCATTGCAGTCAGCCTCAATACGTTGTGCCGTCGCGGCAGTCGAGCCGCACGTACACACGCATCTGCAAGATCATTTCAGATTCAGTCCACAAGCAAAATACACGACTAGTCTGTACTAGGTAATGACTGTATTACTATGTTCTAGGCCTATGCTTTGAAGGTGGTACTGTCGTTAGGCCTCCGCGGAATATGCTCGTATTTTTACCGATAGTTCCTTTGAGCATTGCTCAAAATTTCGACCGATTATTCCCGTTATTCCACCAATAATTCTCACAATAATGCTTTTTTCTTCCCTTTTTTGCAGATACCGTACCGCTTACGGGTTTTTTTGCCACTTGTAGGGGCAAAAAAAAATCACGGTTCGCGTGAAACTCGGCTGGAAGCTTTTTATTTATTTATTTTTTGAAATACCGGGCGATCAACTTCAGGATCACAAGCTTTTTGGTACAAATCGGGGTGTTATAAATGGAAAAAAATTGAAAAAAGGGGGGGGCATTGCTCAAATCTTACCGATTATTCCACGAAAATTGCCAATAATTCCCGTTTTAAAAATCACACCGATAATTCCCGAAATTATGCCGGCACATTCCGCGGAGGCCTAACTGTCGTCATTGTGATGTCATCCTCAGGCGCGTGCCCCGTATGCGGGTTCCTGGGTGCCCGGAACCCCCCTTTTTTTCGCTCAAAAGGCAGGACTTTGCTTCATTTTTTGAAAGGCCCCCGAACCCCCCCTTGAAGGGTACCGGCGTACGCGCCTGATCATTACCTTCAGTGCTGGCCACTGGCTTGCCACTCCCGTAACCAACAATGGCTTTCCAGTTCCCGCATAATTCTTCATGAAGTCTTCACGTGTGATGTTGTCCACGCGAGGAAACGTATCTCCCAGATCCTTGCACATTGCCTCGCACTTGGCCAGCGGTCGGAACATTTCCATAGTCAACGCACTCTGCTCAACCAAACACTGCGTGTCCTGGAGGTAGTCTTCCAGGGCCGCTACGTTCGTATCGATCATCTCCGCACGGTAAAAGAACACGTACAGGAGCATTGCTAGTGGAACAACAGCAGCCGACACTAGCCATTTACCGACTGGACGGCGCTTCTTGGGAAAGTAGATCTCTGCCTTGAACGCTGACTGCACCTCGCTTGGACTCAAACCCGCCAGAAGAGCATCATCGTAGATTTGCTGAAGCTCGGCGTCCAGATCTACGGTTTGAACAGGCCGGACTGGCTCCCGTTCTGGTCGCTCCGACTGCTCATGCTCGCGCCGTCTGGGATGGTCCGCTTCCTTCGCAGCAGCAGCCCGCGGATATACTAGCTTGGTATCCTTCGGCATGTCGTCCGAGAGAGAGAAAACTGCTCCACGCACACTTCGCCCTGATGATTTGAGGATATAACTAGAACGCACCGTTCCAAATAATTACAACGACTAAAATCGAACACCAGGTCACAAAGCACAGCGCTAGCGAGCGGTACGGTGGTGTTGTTTTTGTATACTTTATTTATACATGAATTGTAGTGCCTACTAGTACTAGTGGAAATCAACGCTGAGCGTTGAAAATGCGGGACTAGACTGGGAGCGCAAGTCCTTTGTTGGCGTGATGCACATAGCGGCTGGCTGGCTGTCACATTTCCCGGGCCAGGGTTGCACAGAGCTGGCGCGTGAAACGAGAAAGAGTCTAGAACTAGGAGAGTGGTGACACTCAATGACCATGACGGTACAGCAACCTGAGCAACGACGTACAATGAGTATGACTCGACTGTGAACAGTTTTGACTTTTGACAGGTTCGTAGCCAGTCCAGCCGTCCATACTAGTCTAGAGCAAGTGCAGTGACATCTGCTGAACAAGGGCTTTGCGGCCGGACACCGGACCGGAAGACGCTGCATGCACTGCATACATGTACAATCGTCAATGGGTTAGAGTACGTAGAGCCTGTCTTACTCTGGTTGATCGACAAGTGCAGATCTACATGATTGTAGATTCTCCACAGGCCTTACTGCCCTTACTAAGCCTTAGCCTAAATCGAGGGAGTCTCCGTCAAGAGCTTATGAAGTAATTAGTAATACTTCGAAGTACATGTAAATGATGAAGAAGCTGAGGAGAGAAATAAAAATAGGCCGAGATACATGTAGAATGATGCGGGGTGGTAGTAATAACACAGTGCTCTATGACATCGCTACTCTACGTGGAATGAAACCAGAGGAGATCTACGCAGCTGACATAATAATTATTATTATCATGAACAACAGGAATATTAGTATATGTACACTGGACTGGAGCGTGGACACAAGTGTGCGTTGGAATGATCCTTTTCCTTTTCTTTCTCTTCGGCTTCTTCTTCATCATATTCATAAGTCGTTGACGGCCGGAGACTCCCCTCCGATTTAGTCCAAGGCACATGCATCACCGCACGGCCTAGCGCCTTTCAGGTTGGAAGGCCATGGCATACAGTGTCATCACTCATGTACCATGTACATGTACATGCATGCAATTGTTAGATTGACAGCATGAAACAAGGTGGAGGACACTGTGTCCGAAACACAGTGACCTTACTACAACCTTCCGCGGTTGGCAGCCTCGGCGGAGCCCCGGTCCCTGCGGACCATTTGAACCATATGGGTATCACACCCGGTTCTGACCCTCGTTATGCTAGGGGGTTAGGAGACTACTCCTGATCTAACAATTGCGTGAACTACAACAAGGTTTATCTAATACATGTACCATGAATACTGGTTTACCAGTTTTGGATTATATCATGTACATACATGTATTGTACATGACACATCATTGACATTGTACTTGTACAAGTAAGTTAGTTGTAGATTGACTCCGAGTTCAGTTTTGCCAATAAAATTAGTTACGTGTTGTGTGTGTAGTTATCATGGTTATAACCGGCGTTGGCCCCGGCTTGGGAGAGTGACTGGGTGAGTTGGTTCACCGTCTTGGTCAGTCCTGGATATGTCCTAGATAGGACATCCCGGAACCGGTGCATGCATCTTGTATTCATGCCTCTACATGTACATGTATGCTGTTCCCATAGTAATCGTGACACGGGGCTCGACTCAAACGTTTGTGTCCCATGCATGCATGCATGACTCCCATCCGAGGAAGATGAACATGTCACACTCAAAACAAACGCAACGAAGGCCTTTCGTCTCAAAAGACAAAAGTTGTCGTTCTCCTGGCGGCTTGCGAGTCGAGATTCATATCTTGCCTTCGCGAATTCTACTTTCCTCGTTGTGAAGTACGCCTGGACAAAGGAACTGGCAAGCGAATCGTTTTGGTCCCATTGAAAATTGCAAGCGCACAGGACTCCCTCAAGACAAGAGGTTTGTTCGCACTTTCAGCAGAGCAGTACTAGCTGCTGCTGCGATGAAGTCACTATTTACTTACTTTTTACTTTCGCCATTGCCATTGGCCAATATTGGTTTCAGGCAGCAGAATTGAAGAAGGGTCTGGCTGAAGCTTTCTGGACATGTCGAAAGCTTTCGACAAAGTGCGTCACCATGTCCTGATACAGGATCTGTTTGAGGTTGGTGTAACTGGCAGGGCATTGTCATGGATTGCCAGCTATCTCAGCACCCGACACTGCGGCAGTATGTCCGATTTGGCACCCTCCAAAGTAGCATGAAGCCGTGTACATGTGGTGTTCCACAGGGCTCAGTGCTTGGGCCCCTGCTGTTCAGTGTCTATACCCGGGATGTCCCATCGGTTGTAGAGCCAGCAAAGTCAATCCAATTTGCTGACGACATTGAGGTTCAATTCAGCCACACATCAACGGATGTCATCTCAGCTAATCTCTCCACAGCAGTCACAAAGCTCATTGACTGGCTACGTCAACGTGGCCTCATTCTCAATGAGACAAAGAGTCATCTCCTAGCAGTGTATGCCGGACGCAAACAGCCAACACCACCGATCAAAGTCACCTGCGACAGAACACGTGACCCCTCCCAGAAGCCTCCTCAGTCAAGTATCTCGGAGTGACCGTGGACAGCACTTTGACATTCAAGGAGCACATTGACAAAGTGGCAGCCAAGATAGCTCAGAAAATCGGAGCACTCTGGCGCTCACGCCGCTGCCTCAGTGAAGCTGCAAGGGCACGGTACGTGACCTCCGTAGTACTGCCAGACGCCCTATACGCCTCGCCCTCTTTCAGTGGCTCACTGTCGAGTGCTGAGACCAGGAGGCTGCAGGTTCTGCTGAATCGAGCAGTCCGCACTGTCTACGGTGTGCCCACGCGACACTCAGCTGAACCTTTGCTGACCCGGCTGGGAGTTTTCCAGGTGTCAGAGCACTTCCACCAGAACACCTTAGCTCTTGTGTGGAAGAGCCTACACAGTGAGACATCGCAGTCCGTCACAGAACTAATGACTCCACAAATGACCAGAGAAACCCGCCTTCAGCAGCAGGACGGACTCAGTCTTCCAGCTGCAAGAACAAACGCTGGCAAGTCGAGGTACGCCTTCAACGCTACAGGTAAATGGAACAGATTACCTGGAGATGTCCGCTCCAGCACAACGCTGGAGACCTTCCAAGCTGCAGCAGTACCCTACGCAATTGCTCGTTGACTACATGCAACAGTAGCAAATGCCATGTTTGACAATGGATCCAATTTCCAGCTGACTATCATTTCCAGTGCATACACACTTTTTTCTTTCCTTTTTTTTCTCTCTCTCTCTCTTTTTTCTTCCCTCTTGATCTTCGCTACCTTACATAAATAGATGCGTTATGTTTTGGTGATGCACGCTGTCCTTACAACCGCTGGGCTGTGCCAACCCGCTGACATAAACGTATGACACGTACAACAATGTACAGATGCATTCGCCCATTGCAAACACTGCAAACACGATTCGATGGGGATTTAGAAGCCCGTGGCAACTGTGCGCTATTATGTATTTGCAGTGCTCCACAAGAAGACTTTTGGGTCTATACCTAGGGGTTGTCAAAAGGTATTTTGAAGTCCGGATAATCACATGCATAATTCTGTTTTGTGTGTGTTGGTCACGTGTGTGTTGGTCATGTGGGTGTTGGTCATGTGGGTGTTGCTCTTGAATTATCAGTGTCTAAAGTTTGTTCTCGATTTGTTTGTATTGGCCCCTGCATGTAGACTCCGCTGCAGATTCACCGTCTGCACATGCGAGCACCACAAGCACAGCTACCAGACCGACAACAAGACAGAGCTTGAAAGTTCCGCAAGTCAAGCCAGGAAATATTGATTGTGTCTTCTGTGGGAAAGCTAAGAGACGGCTCCCTGGAAAGAAGAACCAGTATCAGACAACGTCATTGTGTCAAAGCGAAAATGCTGCGGTGAAGATTTTGTTGGCAGCTGATTTGAGAGACGATGAACGAGTAAAGATAGCAGTTGGAGCGTTATCCAGTTTGATTTCTCGAGAAGTTCGTTATCACAAGCTATGCTATAATGAGTTCACCCGTCAGAAATCTCTGGATGCCCTTGCAAAGACGAAATCCTGCAAAGCCGAGAGCAATATTTCGGATGTTGAGGCCAATTTCTTCGCACTACTGGAAAGCCAACTGATAAAGAAGAAGATGCGCTTGTCTATGGCAGACTTGAAGCAACAGTGCGATGGTTGCTTCAGCGCTGCAGGAGTTCTCAGTAATGTCCGCAAGGACAGACTTAAAGGGGAAGTTAAAAAATTAAAATTTCACCAGTTGTAGTCTTCGGGGTGCTGAGTCGAATGGTCGTGGTCCGAGGAAGCTGAGACGCTCCCTTCCTACTTGAATCCCAATCGAACTCGCGCACTTCCACCGAAACTGGGTGACTGCGCCCTACGAGATGGGGATTTGTATGCAAAATGTCACTAAAAGCGCCATTTCGTTCTTATAAAAGCACGGATGACCGCGATTGGCCCATATGTTGTAGTCTTTTGGACGCTGAGTCGACTGGTTTTGGTCCGAAAAGGCTGCGATGCAGCGTTCCTCCTTTATTCCCAATCGAACATGGTTGAAGAAGCGGTCACGTGGTCCTGGGTGCCCAAATCACCTGGTCACCACGCCAGCAGGTGACAACTTTCACACCAAGGTTCAACTCGAGTTCAACTCGAGTGACAGGACTGCACCCAAAAAAGGTCAAACAGGCTAGTAAGTTGTACCCTGCAGGCACGGTGACCAGGTGACTGGTGTACGCAGGAGCACGTGACCGCTTCTTCAACCATTTAGAAAAGCGATCCTGTCAGCTTTTCTATAGGGCTTGAAAGTGATGACGTCAAAAACGGCCTGGGAGTAGTAAATTGACATCAGATTTCTATTTTGGATCCACTAAGGTGCGGTGACTTTGCTATTGCCTCAGTATGTGGGTGCATAGCAACCCACTCATGTCATATGCAGGTGCAACTTTTTTTCTTCGCCACCAGTTGTCACCCCGCCCCCACTAGCCAAATCAGTCAGTTTCACTGGCAACATCACCTTGCTGTGAGTGAGACCGCTTGAAATGTGCTTGGATCCATACAAAAACTGGATCCAGGTGGATCCAGTTTTCGAATTTTTCAAATTGTTGCTATGCCATTGCTATGGAGTGACGTAGCACTTTCAAGC